CGGATTTTGCGGTACTTTTGGTATTTTTCGATAAACAACGCGACTGACGAAATGTTCGGAATCGACAGTCGAAGGGTTCGACTCGAAGCAGCAAGTACCTACAAATTTCTGGAAGTTTTCTGCTTATGAAAGAATTGGAAGTCTTGGCATTCAAGGTTTTTTGGTTTAATGCTATTCAAAAACGCCGAACGGAAAATGGAAGATAAATCTAACATAACAAGAAAGGAAGCTATACCCTTGCAGATAAAGTAAATACCTATGGTTTAATGCTCACTCGGTGCAGTTCCAGGGATTCCAGATTCAGCGTCCCTATTTAAATTTCTTTCCAAAACTCAAAGCAGCAAGTAAAAATTTCTGGAAGTTTTCAGCTGCTGAAGGTTTTTTCTATGCTAGTCGAAAACGTCGAAGATTAATTGAAAAAAAAAAATAAAATTGATTAAATATTTTAATTACTGATCTGCGCTTATTTTCAGACTTTTCAAAGCCTCCCTTAAGCCTTCTCTCCATCGAGCTCCAACAGCCTCCAGCGTGTCGTCCCTCGCTGGAACATGGCGTCGGGCGACACGGCAAATAAGAGCGACAAGCACTGTTCCAAGTTCTCGATTTTACGGCCGATTACTTGCGCCATAATGTCCGGCGTTTTGGTATTTAATAATTTGAATCTTTGTATTATATTTATGTAGTTGCCTTTGACCATGGGCGTTGTGTAAAGGTCGTAAAGGACACTTTCCGTGTAGAATACATTTTGCTTGAATTGCAAGTCCTCTATTTGCCGTATATTTACTGGATTGTTGTCCGATACAACGGCCAGCAACAGGTGGAAGATTTTATGCTTTTTAATCCATTTTATTATTTAAAGCAAAACCGGATTTAATCGGTTGGCGACATGCAGTGCCACATCTATCCACACTATTTGAAAGTAAGACTCGTCGAACGTTTGTAGGGCGAAAGTTGACGCCTTATAATTTTTCTTGGAATCTGGAAACTAATATTACATGAAAATAACCATTTAAAATGGTTCAAATAGATTCCTTATTCAACTTCTTGTTACAAAAAAAACAAATTTAAAAAAGTCGTGCGGTTTTAAAGACAAAAAATAAAGAAAATATATAGTTCCTGTTTGTCTGTCGAACCAGTACCACATAATAAGGGTATATTTAAATACAAAAAAAGGCTTTCCTAACAAATTTGTATGTATAAGGTGAGCCTCCTGGTCGCTTATTTCGGCCTGCGAAGCCCTTCAAGCCCTTGACCACCTTCTCCACAGACTCTGCGTTCCCTAGCAGTGAGGCCGACTTGATTTCTAAGAGGGTTTCTCCCTCCGAGCACCTAAAATTCAAGGATTCCATGTTCGCGTGCGTACCAAGATTAGTACCGCAATTCCCAAGTACTATTCGCGAAATGGCGGTTTTGCATAGAGTTGTCCTATTTTGCACGTTCTGTTGTTAATGTACACGTGCGTGTGTGACCTGTTTAGTAGCCTCAGTCGAAATTATTAAAATAAAAAAGGGTAATACATTTACCATTAAATTTAAAAAAAAGACAGAACAAATAGTTTTTTCGGCAAAATCAATTTATTTTATTCAAAACAAACGAGTGTTTTAGCTTGTTCCGCAGTATCACCGCAATTATGCCGGTGCAAGCCTTTTGAATGGCCTCTACGTCTCCATAACGCTTTCCTTTCATCGGCAAATGCATTTTTCCGAAAAGGTGGAAGTCGCACGGTGCCATATCAGGTTATTACAGGGAATGGTTGATAGTTAAAATGTGATTTTTGGACAAATAGTCGGAAACAAGCGTCGATCGATGATACGGCGCATTATCGTACAACAAACGCCAACTTCCATCTTCGCCTTTAGACCATGCACACTTTGACCCTTAAATCTCGCGATCTCCACAAGAGCCGGGGGAGTGTCGCCAATATGTTGCCAATGCTTAGGCACATGCATCGGGAACATTTCTTTCCGCAACATTTGCATCTGTGTGCATACAAGGCGCCATTATAATTTTTTGAATTTACAAAACCTATTATCCAAATTTCCAAGGCTTTTACTAACAATTTACCATAAAATTATCTAAAAAAGGCCAGATCGGCAGCGTCCTTTCTGCCAACTCACGTAGTCTGTAGAACAGCAATTTGCACAAACATATCATACAAAATTGTGCCGGCCTGTTCTAGAACTGATTTAGCTACATACAAAAAGCTTCGCTCTTATTAGGGTATCATTTACTATATGGGAAAAATATGACCAAATTAAGTTTATTAAAATTAGAATTTTGGAATATTGGAATTTAATGGTAAATGTATTAACCTTTTTAATTTTAATAATTACGACTGAGGCTACTAAACAGGTCACACACACGCACGTATACATAAACAACCGAGCGTGCAAAATAGGACAACTCTATGCAAAACCGCCATTTCGCGAATAGTACTTGGGAATCGCGGTACTAATCTTGGTACGCACGCGAACTTCATGGAATCCTTGAATTTTAGGTGCTCGGAGGGAGAAACCCTCTTAGAAATAAAGTCGGCCTCACTGCTAGGGAACGCAGAGTCTGTGGAGAAGTTCGGGCTTAAAGGGCTTCGCAGGCCGAAATAATCTGCCACGAGGCTCGCCGCACAGTGTTGTCGGAGGAATGAAGAAGCCGGTTGTTCGGAACCTCTTCCAATCTTCCGATGCGGAGCCAATGACACCGGGCCTCAGAGGTTGCCCGAGACTCCGGTCTCTCCAGCAGGGAACAGCCAGGTCCAGGGCACTCCTGGCCTCAGGAATCAGAGACACAAGGCCGCGAAGCAGTCGCCTCCAAAAAAAGGCGTGCTGCAAAAATCTTGTGGAGGTGAAATTGTGCATGCCAAGAAGGCTGAACTAATTAAATGCAAAGTGGACTTGGCAAATTGGGAGAGTACTTATGAAGAAGTGGGGCCAATGGCGAAGCAGGCTAAGGAAATATGGAAAGAAATTTAAATAGGGACGCTGAATCTAGAATCCCTGGAACGGCACCGAGTGAGCATTAAACTATATATTTACTTTATCTGCAAAGGTATAGCTTCCTTTCTTGTTATGTTCGATTTATCTTTTAGTTTCCAAGACTGCCAAGACTTCAGATTCTTTCAGCAGCAGAAAACTTCCAGAAATTTTAACTTGCTGCTTTGAGTCGAAGCCTTCGACTGTCGATTCCAAACATTTCGTCAGTCGCGTTGTCTATCGAAAAATCACACAAGTAACACAATATCAGCATTGTGGAAAAATGCCTGAGCTTAAAGCCTAGTACTCAGTACGACGAAAACTGCTAGCTAAGCATAGGAGTAAGCGAGAGGCAAATAGGTAGCTAAAGCCCTTAGCCGGGGACTTTTTCCCACCTCGGTACTCAGTTGAGCTAAGGAAATAGTAAGAAAATACCACTAAAATACTAGATTTAGCGGATGAATTCTGATGAACGCCTTTAGCCGCGGCCCAAAGAATAAAAAATTTGATCTTTGGCTGTGTTTGTGCAGAAGCGGTGTGCCAATAACATATTATAAATAGAATGAAAACCCCAAAAAGCAATGGAAAACTGCCTGTAGGAGTTGCAGCAATACATATCCTCATTCCAACAGCAAATTTAAAGCTTGAGACCTAGGTCGGCTAATCATTTTGTAATATTTCAAAATTGGCGCCAGTTAATTTGCTTGCTGAGAGTAAGACCATTCTACATGCATTGCGGATGAACTCCGAAGACTTCGGTCACCTTAAAATATTAATATTTTTCGACTAGTGAAACTCTTAGCCGAACTGAGTACTAGGCTTAAGCCTAGTGTGACCGAAGTTTTCGGAGTTCATCCGCAATGCATTTAGCATGGTCTTACTCTCAGCAAACAAATCAACTGGCGCCAATTTTAAAATATTACAAAACGTTGAGCCGACCTGGGTCGCAAGCTTTAAATTCCCTGTTGGAATGGCGATATGTATTGCAGCAACTCCTACAGGCAGTTATCCAATGGTTTTTGTGGTTTTCCTTCCATTTATACATTGTTATTGGCAAACCGCTTCTGCACAAACACAGCCAAAGATCAAATTTTTTATTCTTTGGGCCGCGGCTAAAGGCGTTTATCGGAATTCATCCGCTAAATCTAGTATTTTTTAGTATTTCCTTACCATTTCCTTAGCTCAACTGAGTACCGCGGTGAAAAAAGTCCCCGGCTAAAGGCTTTAGCTACCTATTTGCCTCTCGCTTACTCCTATGCTTAGCTAGCAGTTTTCGTCGTACTGAGTACTAGGCTTAAATAAAAAGTGGACCAAAAAAGTAGTGTTGATTAATGTGGTAATATCCGTGTTTTATTTTAGGGTCACACTGGCTAAAACTCAAATTTTTAACTTTTATTTCACAAGCGAGGTCAAACGTATGCTGTAATATAAATCATGGATATAGCCCCCGCTAGTCATTATAAATGGTCTTTTGGGTTCCTGATTACGTAAAAAGTAGTAAAATTCCTAATTTTTTAAAGCGATTTTTTGGGGCACAGGCCTTTCCTTAAGACTATTACCATTTTGTTCCTGGGGCTTTTTTTCTCTTGCAACTTACTAATATCTTCAAAAACTTTTCACTTTTTATCCTTTGCATTTCTTCTTTTGGGGAACATTATATTGTGTTAATTATCGTATAAAAAATGCCACCAGAGTATAAGGTGAAATGCATTTATCAACTAATCGAAGCTATCTGTTCACCAGCTGTTAAAAATATTTCTTTTGCTTTTTTTTTTTCGAAAAACCTTTATGTGTACGAAAAAATGATTATCACGCAAAAGATCCGACTTTTAAAAATCTTTTATTTTTGTTTGAGACATTTTATTTAATGTGACACATGTTTTCGGAATCATTTACGTTAAAAATTTCGGCCTAGATATGATTATTTGAAAAAAGACCTTGTTTGTGTCATTAAAACCTATGAAGGCCCCTAATGGATTTTGCCCGCCATAAAATCCCTGTAAATACCAATGCGGTATATTTCCTCGTGCTGTGTGGTATATTTCTACGGTATTTCGCACGGTCACACAGGATCTGTAAAAAATAAAATATAGCAAATAGGAAACACAACGCAGAGGGCGAAATAAGTAAAATACAAGCCGAGCAAAACCTACCAGGCCACGATAATGTAATCATGCACGGCCGCAGTCAGTTCGGGCATTGTTTTGTACACCAGCATCTCGTATACTTAGTAAATTTCACGTGCTAAATTCAGAAGAAATCCCCCCACAATTGCTAAACGAATCGACGAGGGCTAGGTAATCCCAATCCCAATCCGCCAATCAACGCGATGTCCAGGAGAGAAGCCAGTCTGATGGCCTACGTGACGGCGGAGGAGCACCTGCTGAACTGCTACTCGCCGCTGGAAGGCGACGAGGTGGATGGAGAACCGGAAGCACAAGCGGAGGCAATGGAATCTCCAGCCGCCGGAACGGGCGTGGTTCGCCTGGAGGAACCCACCGCCAGCGGCTCAGAACTGGATCCCGCGGTGGACAGCATGATGCACGTGATATCCGACGATTCGGACATCCACAGCCTCATCTCGAGCGGCAGCGGCTTCAAGGGATGGGCGGAGGAGCACCCGTCCACTAGTTTCGTCAACCAGGGCGAACAGCGCTACATCTACGGCCTGTGCCGGCACATGGTGGACACAGAGGAGCCACCTGCTGCTGCTCCTGCTCCAGAATGGACCACCTGCACGCCGGCCAAGCGCCAGTGCACCAGCCACGAGGTCATCGAGATCAATGGTGGGTTAGGCTATGAATTTATAGGAATTCTATCCTAATCTAATCTTACCTTCTTTTGCAGACTCCCCCGAAGCTGTCCAGGATCCCAATGGCCTGGCTCTACTACAAGGAGCAGTCAACAATTCCGGCGTCCTGCTGACCAACGGCCACATCGATCAGTTCGCCATGATGCCGCACGAGAGCGATGACGCGGAACACGAACTTCAGATCGCCGATGAAAGCGAACAGTGTGTGATCTACGAGTCCGTGGATGGCGAGAATATGGTCGTGCTGGCGGAGGAGCACTGCTGCGAGATCATAGTGGCCACGCAAGGAGTGGCCTGCGAGCAGGAGTTCGCCAGGGCCATCCTGATGGCCGGAAATGGAGCTGGAGCCTTGCTGGGTCTGCTGCCCGAGGAAGGTGAGGCAAACGATTGCCTAACTGCGGCTGCTTACATCGAGGAGGTGGTGGAGGATATGGCGACTGAAAACAATGTGTACCTCAGTGACGCAGCGCTGGAACAGCCGATGGTGCACCAGGAACTGGTCGAGGACGAGGCGCCCGAGGAGAACGAGAACGAGAATGCCACCTTCTTGGACGACACGCCGATGGAGGAGGAACGGCCGGACATCTGTCAGGTGTACGATCACGAATTGGAGGACCACGACGACGAGGAAGACGAGCAGGGCATCATGCAGCAGGAACCGCCTTCGAATAATCTGCTCCGGAAGTTGCCCCGCGAACACAGCAGTCCCACGGAATTCCCGGTCAGCTCCTCGTCCATGCCGAACGCCAGCTACAACTACGACTTTGAGGACGACTCTCCGTCCAAAGTGGCGCCGCTAAAGCGAAAATACCCCCCGCTGATGAAGAACACGCTCCATGGAGAGGCCATGGATAGAAGGCTAGCAAGCATTTGCCAGGCTCAGCCGCAAATGAGTCCCGCCGAGAAGGTATCCAGTTGGCAGACGGCCGCCAGTGGCGAATGGGCGGCCGTCGAGGATGTGGAGAGCTTTGAGGCCGCCTTCGATCAGCACGAGGCTGTTGCGGCGCCCCACAAGCAGCACAACTTTCTCGAATTCCGCGAAACACTGGCGCGCAACATGGAGAAGGTTAGCCGCGAAATTATGCAGACCTCGGACGAATCGACGCAGGAGCTACCCAGCTCCCAGTCGGCGGCGGAGCGGCCAGTGCATCGCCGCTATCTGCAAATCCTGCCCACCGAGGAGACAATTGTGCTGGACGACGACGACGACGATTGCTACGAGGTGGTGGGCATGGACAATGCCTCCGTGACCACGTTGATTCCCGAGGAGGAACTGCAGGATGATCAACAGCCGGAGGAGGAGGAAGACGAGATGTTGCGCCCCGAAGTGTCGGACGTTAAGAACACAGAGACCCAAACCTCTGACCAGCAGAACCTCACCAAGGAAACCTCTACCACAGACTTGGATAGCAGCGCGGTTTTGGACCCGGTTCCATCCACATCCAATGCTCAACCGTGCGTCGCTGTTCCGGAAGAAATAGGCGACTTTATGCAGCCCATCTCCAGCGATCGCGGACCTTCAGAGGAGCGACAGTTGGCCAGCGCTGTGCTGGATGTTATGCGTCAGCAGGTGCAGATACAGCAGCAGCAGTTCTTGGAGCACAAGATGCAGCAGCAAGGTAAGAAAGGGATATGGCTTATTCCACCTGAAACGTGACAGTCCAATTTTGGTCAAATCTTAGAATCAATCGAAACTTTTTTTTTCCATAGTGGACTGAAATATAAGGATGGTTTTTTTTTTATCTCTTACCGTTTATTTTTAAAAATATTTTTGTAAATTAGCTCCGATTTTTCAGTTATGCATCACTTGAGACTCGTTTGAGGTTTTTTAATATTTTAATATTTGGTATGCAAATTTGTGGGATATCTTCATATCCTTTAGAAAAATATTTTTCAAAATTAGGTATTTTTTAAGGGATTTTTAAATTTAAAAAATTCTGATAGCCGGAATACCCTCGATTTCCGAAAAAAATAATTATCCTCCTGTTGCTTCATCAATTCTTCACGAAGTGGAAAAATAAAATTGTTTTATTTGCAAGACCTACTAGTAAAGACAACGATTTTAGTTTAGCAACTTTGCATAATACGAGTTAAAGCCATATTTGATTGTTTACAAATTTAATTTATTAAGTTATAAATAGATTTAGGCAAAACTTAATTGAGGTTTTTGTAAAAAAAATTTAACCAATCAAATGTGGCTTTAAATCATATTTAAAAAAAAACGACTTCACCTATAATCCGATGTCTACTCATAAATACAAATACCTAATGCCCAACTCTTATTTTCAGAGCCACAAATGGCCGCCGATCAGGTGCCCTACTGCCCCAACAATAGTATGTTCTACGAGCAGCAGGAGTTCTGCAACTACTTGGGTCTCACCGAACTGTCCACGGCCAATGCAGTGGCCACTGCGATGCGGGAGCTGGCCAACAGCACTGTGGCCCGTCGATCGCTGCGAGTGCGACCCCAACAGCAGCTGGACAGGATGCGCAGCGATGTGCGTGGTAAGAGGCGGGAGAGAGAGCGAGAACGGCAGCAGCAGAATAAGGACAAGAAAGTACCACTGACCACCAGTAGTGACCTGAGCACCGATAAAGAGGAAACCCAGCCGCCTCAGATAGCGGAATCCGTTAAAGGGGCGGATGATGAGCTCAGTTCGAATGGTCAGTTGCCTGCACAGCATCAGCGTCAGTTGAATCATTTCTACGACTCATATTTACGAGAAGAGGGAGATCGAGAGCCAAACAGATCCCGCAAATTACTAGAAACGCACAGGTGTTCAAAAGGAGCGAGAGTTACCCAAGGAGAGCGACGGGAACAAGGAGGCTCATGAAGAAAACAAGCAGCCTGAAGATGGACGCGTTCATGCCGTTGAGGCAGCCTTCGCCAAGATCTACGAGGCAGCCGCTCCTGCCCAATCCAAGCTGCTGGAGAGCATGCAGCAACGCTTGCGCCAGGCGCGCGAGACCAAGCCCTCGATCTACATCATCAAGGCTACCAATAATGCCTCGCCGACGGGGCCATCGCCGGGCAGACAGGACGACGGTTTTGGTGATGTCAGAGCACCGCGTCCATCGGCAGTGATCTCGCGACCTGTGAAGGCAGCCAGTCCAGCTAAAGATGCTCCGCCACCAGCCGCATTACCAAATACTACAGCTGAGTCGCCGAAAACCCCGAAACATAGGAAAACCCATGGAGTTACTAAGATTGCAACGGCCACAAAGCGACGACGCACTACCGTGGGAGCTCCCATCGCAGGAAAGCCCGCTCGCGTTCGCGACCTGGTCACCCGTTCCACCACGCATCTCAATTCGAAGCTACTGCGGAACCGCAAAGTCAGTCTGCTCAAGAGCTACGCGCTAACGGATGAACTGGCTCAGGGACGAGCCAAGCGGCTGAGCGGCGGCACAGCGCAAGGAGCCAAAAAGGTGCAAATGCCCAAGATTGTAAGGGCAGCCTTGAAGAGACCCGAACCGGCGGATAAGAGTCTTCCCGAACAGCATCGCCTGCAACAGCAGCAATTGGCACCGCCAAACAGTCCACGCAAGTTGAAAAGTGTCAAGGAGAATAGCACGAATGCCACGACAAATGACAAAACGAAAGCTATCAATCGCCTTACCAAACGAACCAAGAGAACGCGCGCCAAATCCATGCCTGCTAATCTGGAAACGGTTCCTAAGCCTGTTCAAGCCGCTCTGCCTACTGCCACAGTGTTAAGGCTGCCGGAGTTGACAAGAGAAGTGCCCAAGGAGTCGCTAATTAACTCCGCTGCCGCAGAAGCTATAGAAGCCACCCACGTTCATTCCCCTTCCACCACCGCTCAATCGCCTTATGCACAGCCCGTGCTTATTTACCCGCCTTCGCCCACATCCCCGCCGCTGAATTCTATGGTTACGGAACCGCCTCGCCCGCGGCAGCAGGCCGGAAAGGCGCATCCCTCCGACCCAGTCCTCGCCACTCCTCCCGGCGGCCTCCTGCGGCTCAGCGAGAGCTCCTCGACGCTAGCGAATCCACTTTCCGACAAGCACGGTGCGGTTCTCTACATGTACTACGAACTGGAACAGCTCATTGTGCTGCAGGAGAACTGCGTTACCTTCTGGAAGTACTCCAAAGTGTTCAACGTTCTGCACCAACCGCGGCACCAGGTATCCTTCGATGTTTCAAGGAAATCACCCACACCACAGCCGCAACAGCCAAATGCTTGTGATGCCAAGGACGCAGAGCAGGAACTGGATGTTGGACCGCGATGGGTGTACCTGGGAAGAGTGCGACGCGTTACTAGAGGTGAGTTGCAGGCAATAGCTACTAAAGTATTCTAATATCTTTACTCTCATCTTATTCATTACAGAAAAGGAGATTTTTACGCCGTTTGGCAGCCGCATTTGCGTGCACAACTCCACGCCGGTTTACCTGGAAATGCGCAGCAAGCCGCATGACCACCATAAGCGGGAGGTTAAACTAACGTCGCTGCACGTGAATGTGTACTACTTCTGCGAGGAGGAGCTAAGGCCTCGGATGCACTCTGTCCACTTGGACGCTGTCAACTGGTGAGTCCCTATAGAATGCCTTCAAAAGTACCTTATCTAATCCTCGATCTTCATTCATTTAGCGATTGGTCCCACGTCATATACACAACCATTGCGGAGTCGCGTTACTTTGTGATGGCCTGGCAGCAGGAACTGGTGATGGGCAAGCCGCGATCGGGCATCTGCAAGTACTCGCTGACGCCCACTCTGGATACGCTGGCGTCGATTAGGGAGTTCAAGCAGCTGCGCCACGAGCTGCGTCACATCGAGTGCCTGTCGGAGGATCGGCTGATTGGCTACGGGCAGACGCGGATCACTGTGTGGGATCATCGCAGTGGCGACACGCTGATGAACTACGATTTGGGACGTCCTTTGGGGCGGTGCCTGGCCGCCATGCACTATCCCAGCCTGGACATGGACCAAAGCAGCATGCTGGTGCTTTATCAGCTTCTCAAGGAGGCGAACAAGCCGGGCGAGGTGCATGTAATAGCCTGCGAGCTGTCTCATGCCACGCCCTCGCATCGCCTGCTCCAGGTGCATCGCCTACCATCGCCGCAATTCAATGAGGCAACGGAGGCCGTTAACACCGGCGATCACCTGATTATTAAGAGTTCATTGAATGGCGAGGCCTGGATAAGTGCCGCTGATCCAAGGCAGCTCACCTATTTGGCGCCACAGGGCAATGGAGCGCAGCGGTTCTATGCCCGCCACAAGTCGCAGGTGATCGAGATGTCCCCGCAAACGTTGACTGTAGATAGCATCGCCAATCACATGTTAAAATTGGCTGTCCAGCAGAAACACTTGGTGTAGACCGGAACAAAGTTTTTGTTTTCTCCTTGTTAAAAATCACCCACAAGACACAGACACAAAACGAATATCGCCTTTAATGTGAACTGTAAGATCCCTTAATTTGCTTCTGGCTGTCAGCCCAAAACATGTAGTTCAAATATATACGAAACTATAATAGGTTGCGTGTTAGACCCATTTAATCCTCACCATCATTATCATCCAGTTATAACGACATTTCGCCTAAGTCTTAAGTAAGTCACACATGTTTAGCCCTTACATATATGCTCTGCGCTATCATTGAATAAGTGTTTTTGTTTTCCTGGTTCTTTTTATTTTTTCTAAAAGAAAAACAAAACTCTAGCCTAAGTTATCGTACTTTTAGACCTAACTATAGATTGAAATATTTGTTTTACTACTATCAACTGCAGCAGTGGATGTGTCATATTTTTAGTTCAAAGAAAACACCAAAATGGAAGGAAATTAATGTCATTAAAAAGGAAATATATTTAAAAATACAATGGTTGTTTTTGTTACGGAAAAATAAGATTTCTTTCGTTTTTAATGTAGCAATGGTGGCTTACAGCAGATGGTCACTAATAACTAATGGATTTCCTACGATAGTTTTGTTAGCCACACAAGATTATTTGTAAAAAAGGTTATTTTAATACGCTTGATACTTAAAATATCGATACTCATTAACGTATTTATTACGAAATCCATGAATCCATTAGTAACAAGAGAGAACGCTATAGTCGGGTTGGTGTCCCGACTATCTAATACCCGTCACTCCGCTAAAGGGAGAGCGAACGCTGTGACGGGTTGGTGTCCCGACTAATAATCGTAACTCAGCTAAAGGGAGTGCGAGGGAGATAGATATATGTTGACAATTTATAAATCGTATAACTTTTTAATGAATGGTCCGATTTGAAAAATGTCTTCTACATTTCGATAGGTATAAATATACACAACAAAATTGCATTTATACTTCTCGGAAATCTTTAAAGATGTGGGCGCAGGACCCATTTTAAAATCGTTAGTGGGCGATTGTGGGCGTTAGAGGGGGCGTGGCGCTCGGCTAAAATAAACTTGCGCTGCGTAGGAAGCCAAAGAATATGTGTGGGAAATCTCAACCTTCTAGCTTTTGTAGTCTCTGAGATCTCAGCGTTCATACAGACGGACAGACGGACAGACAGACAGACAGACAGACAGACAGACAGACAGACAGACAGACAGACAGACAGACAGACAGACGGACAGACGGACATGGCTAGATCGACTCGGCTAGTGACCCTGATCAAGAATATATATACTTTATGGGGTCGGAAACGCTTCCTTCTAGCTGTTACATACTTTTGCACGAATCTAGTATACCCTTTTACTCTACGAGTAACGGGTATAATAAGCTATCATATTGTTTTGCTGACAGCGGTATTCCACAATAGTATTCCACAGTTCACAGAAATCTGTAAATTTTACACGGTTTCCAATACAGTATTTTAAGAAAAGGAGTCGGGAGATTCATGTCAAATCGTTGACTCCAGTTAAACAGTTGATTTCCTGTCACTCGAACTTCTGTCACTTCACCGATATGTTTCTAACAATCGTCTTCCAATTTATTAAGTGGCTCTTTTCAATGGTGCCCGAAAACAATCGTCTTCTAATTTCTGGACCAAAGGAGTACCCGTTCCCCATCGCAATTCGTTTTAAAATAGTTCGAGAAAAATTTCTGGAGCCTGAACCAGAGCTCAGCATTGAAGAAAAGCTGTCCCTCCTGTTAAACGCTACAGAAACTCTAACCACCTCTTTTGCAATGGACAACAAGATGGAGCCGGAAATAATACCACCCGCATCGGAATTGGACTTCTTGGGCAACATCCTGTTGGCAATAGGAATACCAGTTCTTTTGCGGGAAGGATTTCCTATACTTCGCAGCCTATGGAGGACCAAAAGGGAGGAATATCAACATCAGCTTCCTTTCAAAAACAAGGAGAAGCCAGTTGTACAGGAGAAAGCAGAAGAGGCCGTGCAAAAGTTCACATTTATGTGTGAATGCAGAATACTCACCGACGAAGAGTGCTTACAGCCGCCACCAGATTATTAAATACGCGGTTAATTTATATTTGTTAAGCCTTACTTTAAATTCAATTAAAAGAGTTTGACTTTGGTTTCTTTCATTATATGTCGTATATTTTAAACTATTTTTTTGTTGTATAAGAACTAAACAATTTCATCTACTCTGTTGTCAATCATTCCCGACGTGCTACATTACCAACTAATTTGACTTAAAACTAATCATTAATTAGTTCTTCATTAGTTTCTAAGTTCTAGTTTTTTATATTTACACAAGTTTTACTTACACGAGAAAGTAAAAAATCCATCTAAAAAACGGTGAGGTGGACCAAATGTACAATTAGAATGAACGCGAATGCTTTTCGGTAATCGAATTGCCGCTAGGAAGCCAATTGCTAGCCTGAGAACCAACCACGAAATGCAAAGATCCCTAAAAACTTGCGGCATTATCGAGCTAAATCGAGCTTACATGTCTAGTAAAGTACAAGAATTTCAAATTTAGTTACGATCGCATACTGTACAAGTTACGAATATAGAAAATATATATATATATCTCTATTTTGGCGAGAACCATTTCAAGGCGGTAAGTAGCCCCAAAACAATAGTTAACGCTGAGGGCGCTCCAGGAGCAGCAGCTACAGTCCACTACAACTCTTTGTCCGGCTTCTGTGTGGCCGCGACGGTTTGATTTTGCCGCTGCGCCTTGGCCAGTTGCCACCGCTTGAACTCCACCATCTGCATGACGCGAACGCCCAGCGGCTGTTGCTTCCGTCGCTGCATCACCGCCGTCAGCTTGCCGAACTCCACGCTGTACATGAAGACGACCGGAATGAGCACATCGTCCTTGCCGTCGCCGGACATTGCGAACATCGGCTGCGTCTCGCCGGAAGAACCGGGTACATTATCACAGACAATCAGCGCCACCGCTCCCACTTTCTGGGCCAGTCGCGCTTTGCTCACGAACGTGCAATCGCCGCGTTCGGCCACCAGGATCTTTCCCTTCGCCTCGGCCGCATTCTCTAGGTTCTCATCGCAGGCCCGAAGCGGCTGGGCCAGCATCACGTCTCCCTCGACAAACTGATCGCCAATCAATTCCGGGCTAAAGTGCGATGGCCCGGCCATCAGGGCGACCCAATCCTGGGCCTTCTCATCGGTGGCATAGGCCACGGCCTGCAAATTAAAATAATTATATTATTAAATGATAGATTCCCTTTATAATACAATTAGTATACCAACCTGCAGTTGCGCCAGCTGATTAATGCTTTGCATCTTGGTCAGCTCGAGCATCTCCTGCATAAACTGCAGTCCCATTTCGCCCTCCTCGTGGCTCTTGGCCTGAATAAAATCAAAGAAATATGTAGAATATTGCTTCATGATCTGTGGAATGATGATGTTGATGAGGAGAAGGAATAGGAGGAAGCGGAAACCCACCCAGAGTGCCAAAACGAAATGCAAACGAAACCAAAAAAGCAGAAAAGAAATAAAACTTACATTATAGAAACTATGAAACAGTCGCACCTTGCCTTGGCTGCGGTCGCCTACCGAAACCATGGTAATGCCCATGTCGTAAACAGCTCGAAGATGATCTGCATTGCTTGCCTGAAAGTCCAGAGCGCTGAGTCGCTTTCCCGCTGTCGTTCGAGGGCACGAGCCCGTAATGAAGTTGCGCAGTGGTTTGCGTACTTTCTCAGGAAAAAGCTTATTTGAACTGGGGCAGGTGCGCATGAAGTCGAGTACGTTGTGTTCGTCCGACTGCCGAAAGCCTGTAAGAATAATAATTCATTTTACAATTAGTATTCTCAAGAGTACAATCGAAAAAATTTCCCCTGAGTACAATAATAATTAAACTATTCTTTGGGGTACAAAGTGCCTTATCAGATCCAACATTTTGCAGATAAAAATTGCTTTTACTTATGGCTCAAGAAAGCAATTACTTTTTCAAATTTTTTTCCTCAAGGACTGTTTTTTGTGAAATAATTACTGATAAGAGTACATAGTTTCAAGCAGCGAAGATTACGAAACCAATTAAACTGCTAGTTTTAAAATATAATTATTATTACAGAAATCAGAAAATGACTTACTAAACGTGGCATTCCCTAGTTGCGCAATAGACAGTGGCAGCAGATGAGCTTCGGTCGTGAAGACAAACTCATCGACATTGATGATCAGATCCTGGGGATCGGAGAACAAGAGGAAGAGGTACTTGATGGTCTCGGAGAGCACGAACGAGTCCATTCGATCCTCGTGCTTGCCCGTCCGCACATCATTGACGGCCGCATAGCCGCAGGAGACCTTGGCGTGCTGCTGGAGGGTCTTCAAAGCCCGCTTGCCAACCTGGAGATAGTGATGGTCGCCAGTGGCGCGGTACAGGAAGTATGTGGACTCAATGAATTCCGGCCGCAGGGGATGCTGACCCCAATGGATTTGGAAGTCTACGGTAAAAGCCTCTGGAATAAAGGTGTGCATTTGCATAACCTGTAGGATAAGATAAGATAATGTAAGATATTTAGTGATTGCTAGCTTTGACAAGGATAAACCATACCTGATAGAGCATCTCGTGCGTCTGTACAGCCGGTTTGAGGTCGCCGGAAAGCACTTGTAGACCCGGCCAGAAAGCCAGCAGCGAGTCCATGAAGTTCTTGGACTTGGCATGCGGCCTGTGCATAAGCACATCCAATAGCATGGGGCCCTCGCTGACGTACTTCATCACGGCATTGTAGTGGCGATTGAACCGGGCCAGGTACTTGTCGTCGCCCAGCAAAACATACGATTTAAACAAATACTCGTAGTAGCTGTCGATGCCCGCGCCGACTCCCGAATCCCGACGCACCCAGTCGCCGGAATGGACATTTAGCACTGTGCCCATAAGATCAGAGCCACGATGTCGGAGCTTCCACAACGCATCCATGGCCGCGTGGGCTCGCACCTCGAAGATCGGATCGCCGGTTAGCCGTGACAGCGCCGCGAATTCCAGTAGAATCGTTCCTGCACACGCGGTGCAAGTCTCCCGGGACTTTTTCAGCATTGGATCCTTCATGCCCAGGCGGAGATTAACTCGTGCATGCGGAATGCCCGTGGAGGTGTTGAAGGCCGGCAACAGGCGGTAGCCCAGCTCACGGGACATTTCCAGCAGCTCGCCCTTGTACCAGTGCATCGTGTCTGCGTGCTTCTGCAGATACTCCGCCAGAATGTGGGCGGACAGCAGGCCACCGACCATTCGAATGTTCGTCTCGAACACCGACACAATTATGTCGCTGTCGAACTGAACGTCGCGAATGACAAGCTTGACGGCGTGCTCAAACTCGGTGAAATCTCCCAGCAGCACCAGGGTGTCCAGAGTGTCCACCAGAGTCATGGAGAAACTAAAAATTGTTTTTTAAATATTTGTTCTTAACATTAAATCGAGGTAAACTCACTTTCCGAGGATGTCATCCATGTCGCCACGCGAGGGCGTCACTCCGCGATAGCGTCCTTTGCAGGAGAGCGGCATCAGCTCGTCGGCTGGATAGGCGTTCTCCATGTAGGCGTGATATGCATGATAGAACATATCGCGTGCCTCTTCCCTGAAAGCAAAAAAAGGATTTTAATTATGGAAAAATTTAAAACTAAATTAATAGATTGCTTACAAAAATTAAGGTATTAGTTTATGTGCATTTATTCTGGTTATTATGATTGTATTATTTAATCAAATTATTTTACAAATGTTTAAATTGACATAAAAAAATTTTAAAAAGGAAAAAAAAAAAAAACATAGATTGCTTACAAAAATTAAGGTATTAGTTTATGTGCTTTTATTCTTAATGTTTTATACTTTAATAAAATTATTTTACAAATGTTTAAACTCACATTAAAGATTTAAAAAATTTATAAAAAAAATGGTATGTAAAACTAAATAAATAGATTGCTTTCAAAAATTAAGGTATTATTTTATGTGCATTTATTCTAGTTACTATGTTTATATTTTTTAATAAAATTATTTATTTATGTTTAAAGAGACATACAACATTAAAAAAAAAATGTAAATACCCTGTCAGCTATATCAAAAAGCTCATTGAAAGCCGTACAAATCCTAAAGTCGAATAAAACAACCATATTTAAACTTGTAAGATATGCAAATTTAACCGGCTCGTTTCTAATTTTGATATTTAATTATAGCTAATTAAATTGTAATTAGCCTCATGTAACCTTCAGTAAGCATATAGGTCTCTAAAATTAGATGACATAGTCCTAAAAGTAACAAATTTGGTAGGTAAATAAAATGGAAAGGAAATTTAGAAGGACTCTCTAGGGATTTAGGATCTGATATAAAATCAGAGATTTTTCTAAGATTTACCTGAGTTCCGCCCGCTCCTTATTGGACATGTTTTGCGTGGGCATGTTGGTTTCGGTGCTGAGGACGCATGCCACCAGGATGCAGAGGGCCACCAGGAAGGTGAGCATCAGCCGCTGGCCAGGAGCAAAGGATGCGGTGGTTTTGGTGGTCATGGTGCTGGCTATCTGGATGCTACGACTACCGATGGAGACGCTGGATCGCTTTGTCTTTCGGTTTCGGCCGCCAGACTTGCCGCTCGAGTCGCTGTGACGTTGACCTTCACTTTGAACGTGTGCTGTTGAAACAACGTTGGCTTCGATTTCGATTGCGACGTTTACGCTTCTCTTCGCCGCCTCTTTGTTGACTCCGCTTTGGGCCCGTGGTCCGCTTGATTTGCAGCTTAATTGAAACAGCCAACTCATAGTTTAACTAACAATTTTGGTTTGACCGGAAAGGGCTGCCCTGCCGAAATATGTATGCTCACCTCTCTCTATCTCTGCCCGAAATGTCGACCTAGTTTGTGAATTTCGGGGGCACTACGAGATCGGGTTCTGGAGAACCTCAGCACCGCTGCGTCACCTGCACTATTAATTGCATCCTCCCGACGACGACGGCGACGACACACATCGTGCCTATTTATAATCTCGTTTGGAATATGTTTTTCCGCCCCAATAACAAACCACCACGACAGCAAAGCGAACGAAGGTTGCAATTCGGCCGATCTGTGGGGTCTTACGGCTGTATATTCTATATCCAGCTGGTATTGCTGCTTCGCTCTCGAGTGCTCGTGCTTTGCTGGCAATTATCAGATCGCTTATCAACTTATCAACGGCCGAACTCAAGATTCCTTAATTTTATCACGAAAAAAATTGCCCGGAGTTCAAGTGAGACCAGCTGTGCGGCGTTCGGAAAGTGTGACCCTCTTTTTGCAAGTTCAATTTTATAATTGTTGGTATTTTCATAAAAGAAAAATACTGCTAGCAATCGGCTATTCGATAAAACACCCGCCAAATTTGAAAACAATGGTTATTTATTTAAAAATTTTTAGACATTTCGTTTAGCATAAATGTTACAAAGTCAATTACACAGGCGATATTACAAAAATAACAAACAGCACTCTCTGCGGTGCCCAATCCGGTAAATACAATCGGTAAATTTGTAAAGCTCGAGAACTCGATTTCGGATTAGTCACTCAAACGATAAAGACTTCTTACTTTGATAATACCATTAACCACGTTAGAGTTGCACAAATGGAAAATTCTTTGTATGATTCGGCTAACAAATAACATATCTAAATAAATTGGTACTAAATATATATATAGTTATGGTGTGTGTTTGTCGGGGGATCGGCGGATCCAACAGTGCTCTCGTGTGGTTCGGTGGACTCACATCGGCAACAGCGACTGGCTGACACTGCTCTCGTGGGAAACGGGTCGCTCGATGGTCATCGAGGACTGCGGCACCTGGCTGTCGGTGCTGATTCCCAGGCTGGCGTAAATCTCCTTCATCACGAACAGAATCGTATCTTCAGAGCCCCTGCATAAAACATATATTATTAGTAATTCTATAAAGACTCTATAGATAGATATAGATACTCACCAGTAACACACATGGCTGCTCAGGGCGAAAATATATTCGTTGATGAACTCCAGCGGCGCCTCCTGGAGCACGTAGTCCACTCGCTTCGAGTCGTTCAGCTTTCCCAGGGGGAAATCAAGTTCTATAAACTCAGGATCGGAGGCCGTGGTCGAATTGGAATCGGTACGATTTCGCAGCTTACACGATGAGCTGGCCACCGAGCTCTCGTCCTGATCTTCGTTCTGTTTTTGCAGGGCCTGCGAAGAAGTCTGACTTGCCGTCTCCTTCTCCAGCGATTCCTCGGCTTCCTTCTTCACCTTCGTCACCGTGGCCAGGAAGTTTACGCTATCCAGCGTGGTCTTGAATGTGTCCATGAACCGCTGCTTGATATCCGCACCCACGCGTGTCATCGTTTCCTTTAGCTCGAGGTGCATCCGCTTGCGTCCCTTGTGGTGGGGAATCAGCACCGGCCGAATGCCATTCATGTCCGGATTCACAAGCGCCTCAATGCGATAGGCCACCGGATCGAAGGGATGGAATATGTTGTAGAATCCCGGACATGTGGGCAGGTGGAAGTCGAGGCCAAGCTTATCGATGCCCCGAATGGTCACAAACATTCCGATGGGCGACCCCAGAGCGAAGAACTTCTTCGGGTGGAATATGAGCTGTGTGTAGGTGATGACAGGCTGTCCAGTGCCCTCCGGGCCCATCGCATAGCTGACTTGTTTGGGCAGAAGATCGCTGGTGGGTAGCTGAACCTTTTGACACGCCTGCTTCTGGGGCAGTTGATCGGGATTCTCCTTGATAAACAAAAATTATTGTTTAATAAGTTATACCATTGCATAGAAAAACAAGAGAGAACAAGAGAACAAGAGAGCTAAAGGGAATGCGAAGGAAATGGAGATAAAAACTTTGATCCGCCGTAACTTTTTAACGAATGGTCCGATTTAAATTTCTTCTACATTTCGATAGCTATTGATAAACACAACAAAACTGCGTTTTTACTTTTCCAAAATATTGAAATTTTTAAAATCGTATATTAGCGATTGAGGGCGTTAGAGGGGGCGTGGCACCCTTTTGAAACAAACTTGCGCTGCGTAGGAACTACTAGAATCTGCATGCAAAATGTCAATCTTCTAGCTTTTATAGTTTCCGAGATCTCAGCGTTCATACAGACAGACAGACAGACAGACAGACAGACAGACAGACGGACAGACAGACGGACAGACGGACATGGCTAGATCGACTCGGCTAGTGATCCTGATCAAGAATATATATAGTTTATAGGGTCGGAAACGCTTCCTTCTACCTGTTACATACTTTTGCACTAATCTGATATACCCTTTTACTCTACGAGTAACGGGTATAAAAACCGATATGAAAAAGGGTTATTTCTACCTTAATTATTAATATCATAAAAAACACCAAATTTAGTATTTTTTGAGCAAATAATATAAAAAAAGATTAAAATTATCTTTATTCATATCAAAATGATATCAAAAATATCAAATTGACCATTACCATTTTTTTTCTGTGTGGTAATTAAAGCCTAACTCACTTTATTCTCCTCCTCGCTCTCCTTGAGTGGCTCCTGATGGCACAGCAGATCGAAGAGGATCAGGGAGCCCAGGCTGTGTCCTGCCAACGAGACTCCTCCATTGAATTCGGGATGTCGCATTCGGTACTTCAGGTAGACGTCGTTAAGCGCATCCGCCACCGTGTTCATGATCTTCTGGCAGTACTTGGGACTGGTGTAGAAGAGCACGTCGAGCAGCGTGTCGTTGGTGAAGTTGCGCAGGCGTGGAATCGACTCCAGAGTGATGGACTTGAGCTTCTCGTCGATGCCCAGTTCCTCGGAGTGCAGGTGGCCGTGCCAGGAAATGGGCAAGACCTCAACGCGACCCACGAGGCCCATGTCGGTGGAGTTTTTGTAGTGGGACTGCACCAATTGCTGGGCAATAACCCGGAAGTCATCAACTATTAAAGAGGAAAGATATTTATATTATATACCTCACTCGCGGCTCCTAATTATTTAAGTAATTAATGGGATTTTTTATAGATTTTTATGTCAATCCGTTCTGGGTGATATTTGCTACTGACCGTTTCTTCGAGGTCCAATTTTATATTAGTTTAGATATAATTTGTATATATTATTATATATTAACCCACCAACTTCCTCCACCGAACGCATTTTCAAATCGCACGCAGATCCAATGCCGTGGACCATGAAAAGCAGGTGATCCACTCGCTGTGACTCGCCCTGTTCGATGGTAAAATCGTCCAGATCCCTCTTGACCACCCGTGGTCGCATGGAGCCCTGGGTGCTGGCACCCCAGGTGTCGGCATTCTGTTGCGGCAGGAAGTGCACGATGACGGTGGGTCCGTGAAAGACCACCTGTTCGCCGTTGGCCAACAGGATCTTCTGGTGCCACTCGCCCGTCTCCGCGGATCGCTTGTATTCCGCCTCCAGCAGGGCGGCCGTGTCCTCGGTGTAGGGCACGTACTTGGAGTCCACTCCCTTGTAGAACCAGGAGCAGCGACGCACTTCGATGGCCTTGCCCTCCCAGTAAACGGGCGTCTTGGTACGCTCCTTGATGTTCACATCGTAGCGTCCACCCTCGACGGGGATAATCAATGAGGAATCGTCTGGAAAATCGAGGTAATCATTAGTTGATTTTAACAGTAAAAAAGAGAGAATGCTATAGTCGGGTTGGTGTCCCGACTATCTAATACCCGTCACTCAGGATGGAGATGGATATACGAAATTTGTTGGCTTGCGCATAACTTTTTAATGAATGGTCCCATTTGAAAAATGTCTACTACATTTCGATAGGTATAAATATACACAACAAAATTGCATTTATACTTCTCATAAATCTTGAAGGGTGTGGGCGCCAGGCACATTTTAAAATTTAGTTAGTTAGTGGGCGATTGTGGGCATTAGAGGGGGCGTGGCGCTCAGCTGAAATAAACTGGCGCAGCGTAGGAAGCCCAAGAATATGTGTGGGAAATCTCAACTTTCTAGCTATTGTAGTTTCCGAGATCTCAGCGTTTATACGGACCGACAGACAGACGGACATGCACGAATACAATGTACCCTTTTACTCAACGAGAAACGGGTAGAGTAACTAGGAGTAGAGGCTTACCAAGATTAAGGCTAGTTTCCAACAAGGCCGAATCATAGTGGCTGAACGGTGTCCAGATGAACTTGGTGTCCACGCTGCGCTTGTAGAACCAATGGACCACCACTGGTGAGTAGGACTACAAGGAAAGGAAGTAATTAAAAGGTGCCCTCCAATTTTTTTAGGTATTTATAACTTACTATGGCCACGGGAGGTGTCGCCACCTGGGCCTTTTCGTTGCCGGAAGTGGCCATTCTGAGTTCTCTGAGGATCTCGTCGGGCAGCTCGCCCAGGTGCTGTTGCAGCAGATCCTCGCCTGATTGCCGATCGGCTTGCGATGGAGCCGCAGGAGCAAGGGTGGAGAACTCGGAGCAGGCGGAGGAGGGCGGCTCGACAAGATTGGAAACGGGCGTTTGCGAACGCTCCTGCAGCTGCTTCACAGCCACTCCACTGTGCACAATGTCGTACTTGAGTTCACCCGGTGCAGCAGGTTGATCCTGCAAGGGGGGATTATTGAAGAAGTTCTGTATGCGCTGATCCTCGTTGGCTTGTTGGATTTGCGACTGCGGCTGGGGCACCTGGTCAAAGAAGTTGACTGGATCGCAGTTTACTACTGGAGCCACTGGAGCAACTGGCTCAGGTGGGATGATAGCAGCCGGCGGAGGAATCCCTGGGGCGCCAAAAAAGCCGCTGAAAGAGTTGACACTTGAATTTGGATACGAGTTTTCGATCGAACTCGGTGCTTGGTCCTGCGCTTGCTGGGATTGGCTCAGCAAGTCGAAACCGAGAGGAGCTGGAGCAATATTCGAATCACCCGCTTCCACAGGTGGCTCTTTTTCCAAGGGTGGCGGTGCAATTCCCTGCTGAACTGGCAGATCTGGAAAAACGCTGCCTGGTGCAGGATTCGCAAAGAAGTTAAAGTCTGAGGAAGGCGCTGCTCCAGGTGCCGGATTGAAGAAGCTCTGCAGGGGCGAGGGAGCAAGTGGTGGATGGTTGAGGGCTTCGGCCTCCGGCTGCTGTGCAAAGAATCCAATTGGAGGTGGAACCAATTCCGCTCCAGATTCCTGAATCAAAGGTGTAGCTTTAGTTTGCGCAAATGGACTAAAGACGGTTTGTGTTTCAGTGTTGCTCTGGAATAGATTGGCTGTGATGCTGGCCTCTGGAGTTCCAAGGAAGGCGGGTGGAGCATCTACTAACTCAGCGGATGCAGCTGGAAGCAGTTCTGGTAAAGATTGGGCTGTTGGTAGGGGAGCAAACAAAGTAGAAGTCGTTGGTGGAGCCGGTGTGAATAATGCAGTGGTAGATTCCTCTTGAGCAGGGGAAAAGAACGACGATACAGATGATGTTACAGGATCAGCAGCAGGTTGCGGAGGATACAATGGAACACCCTGAGTTTGTCCCGATAAACCAGGAACTGGCACAAATAAGGGAACCTCTGGTTCCTCTGGTGCAGTTGGAGCCGTAGAAGTTAAAGCTCCTTGATCAAGTTCACTTGAAGAGTTAATCGTTGGAGTATCTTCTACAACGGGTTCAATAACAGGTGGACTAAGAAATGGAACTTCGCTTTGAGTGATTTCTGGGGGAGCAGATAAAGATTCGTCTTGATTCTGGGTCTCCTTAGGTTCCTCCTTTGTTGATACTTCCTCCTGGTTGGACTGTGGTGTAAAAAGATTTATTCCCGCTGTCTCTGCAGGCGGTGGTGCAAAGAATGGTAATCCTGGGATCGCAGGGGGATTTGCACTTCCAGAAGAAGTGAACAGAGTTTCCGATGACTGTTGGGGAACAAAGAAGGAACTAACCAAGGGATTGCCTTGATTTGAAGCAGGTCCTTGGACGAGTGTTTCCAAAACTGTCGAAGGTGCAGCTGGATCTTCCCTTTGGATCACAGCAGTTGGTACTTCTGCGTCTGTCGGTTGTGGATTGAAGAAAGGAATGGCCGAGGTGGATGTGGTTGGTGCGGCAAAAAGCGGTACTCTTGCAATTCCAACTGCTGGAGGAGGATTACCAATAGATGCTGCTGGTGGAGGAGCAACACTCGCAATTGAACCTGCTGGTGGAGGAGCAAAAATCGTAGCGACGGCTGGCGGTGGAGCAGTGAATCCTGGTCTGTTTTCAGGTATATGACCTGTTGGTCCAAAAATTCCAATAGATGCTGCTGGTGGAGGAGCAGCACTTGCAATTAAACCTGTTGGTGGTGGAGGACCAACAACTGAAGTCACCACTGGCGGTGGAGCTGTGAATCCTGTACCGCTTTCAGCTGATTGGGCTCTTGGATCAAAGATTCCAATAGATGCTGCTGGTGGAGGAGCAACACTTGCAATTGAACCTGCCACTGAAGGAGGAGCTGTTAATCCGGGACTGTTTTCAGGTATTTGGCCTATTGGATCAAAGATTCCAACAGATGCTGCTGGTGGAGAAGCAAAATTGGCAATAGATGCTGCTGGCGGAGGAGCAAAATTGGCAATAGATGCTGCTGGTGGAGGAGCAACACTTGCAATTGAATCTGCTACTGGAGGAGGAGCAACAATCGGAGTGACAGCTGGCGGTGGAGCAGTGAATCCTGGAACGTTTTCAGATATTTTGTTTATGGGGGGAACTCCTTGGTTGCCTTGACTCTCTGGCTGTTCCGCTCCTGAAACGGGTGCTCCAAATGGGTTAAAAATTGCCGGCGTCACAGAAGTGGGAGGCAAAGGGGCGGCAAATCCGGAAGAGGCTGCTGTTTCCTGTGCCGTCAACGGGCTCTTGTAGAGACGAGTGCCCTTTTGCAGGCGATATGATGCTTGTCCAGCGGCTGGCGGTGGTGCAGCTGCCACTGGCGGAGCTCCTGGCAAGGAATTGGGAGTAATAGCAGCTGGTGGAAAGGCTGCTGGAGGAAAGAATCCTGTTGGTGGAGCAGCTGATGTGGCTAAAGGTATTGATGGAGCTTCTCCTGGATTAAAGAATCCTCCAATAGAGGATGTTGGAGGAAGATTTGCAGGTGGTACTGCTGTTGTCGGTACAGGTGTTATTGGAACCGCTTGTGCGGCAACAGGAGGAACTGCTCCTGGAGTGAAAGTCGGAGGAACTGTGGGTGGAACTCCTGGAGTAAAGAAACCTCCTACAGAAGATGTTGGCGGCAGATTTGCCGATGTGATTACAGGTGCCGAAGGAACCGCTTGCGTAGCAACAGGTGGAGCTGCTCCTGGCGTAAAAACTGAAGGTGTTACTCCTGCTCCTGGGTTTATTGATGTCGGCGCAGGATTAAAGAATCCTCCTACAGTTGGGGGCGCAGCTACCGGCTGGAATATTCCCTCGCCAACTGGTGGTGGTCCAGAAACTGGTGGCGTAAAGTAATTTACCTCGGTTGAGGGTAAAGATGGAGCGGGAACAGGAGCGAAATAGTTACTTCCCGATGGTGGAGCTGCACTTGGACCCCCAAATAAGTTGGTTGCTCCTGTTGAAACGTCGAAATAGCCTCCTGTTTGCTGAAGATTGGGATTCGCTGACTCACTGCTTCTTCCAGTGGCGGATTGCACGAGTCCCGAGATGTTTTGCAGAACTCCCGTGGGCACAAGACTAGTCAAAGAGAAGAGCCCTCCGCCCGATTTGCGCTCCTCTGCGGGAACTGGCTGAGCTGGCTGGGCTGATATGTCAAAGGTAGCTGGGTTGGCTGGTGGATACGGTGGCGTCTGGAACGATGGAACCGCTTGTGGAGCCTGCGGTAACTGAGCAGCCTGACCGGATTGATCAGAGAATCCCGGAATGGGAGCGTATAGCTTCTTTCTGGCGGTGAATCGATAAGTGTTGGAATTTCCCGCTGCTGGCGGTGGAGGACCAGGAACTCCTGCGTTCGCTGCCGGAATCTCAGTGGGTGCGTAGAACTTGGGTGGTTCAAGGGCCACTGGTGGTTCATTCGCCGCCACCGGTGGAGCTGCGTAAAAGGGAGCAGCTACCGGAGGAGCTACTGGCTGAACGAAGCTGGCCTGCTGAATGTATGAGGGCTGAATTTCCAACTTGGGCTCCTCCGAGGACTCCCTGCTCCCAGCGTAGATTCGCTTCGAGAAGGTGGAAAACACATTGGAGGCCACCGATGGCAGGGCCGTAAAGGAGGAGGCCGCCTGGCTCAGCAGCGAATCGTTGCCAGCTTCTTGGGTTGGTGGCTCCAACAGAGGATTGGCGTTCTGATCTCCGCCTCCCCGATATGAATCCTCGCTGCTGGTATTCAAGTTAATCTCGTCGAGAACCTCGCTGTCGTCGATGCTGGATGGCTGGCCTACGGTAACCAATGTTTTCGGTTCTGAAAAATAGAAAAAAAAATAAATATGCCATGGTTAGAGTGATGGTAATATATGGTAAGTAAAGAGATCCTATTTAGATCAGGACTTTCAACTCGGAAGTGGTTGGGGGTATGGCCCACTCCCCACTATCGTTCTACATAAATCAAATCATTACAACAAAGTGTTATGGGCTGTAATGAATGCAAATTGAAATCGAACAGCCGGCAAACACAATTAAAAACGGAACCGCTCCAAACTGGTTTACTTGGAATCGGAGGTGGAATCGAACTTGGAGATTTGGATTAGGGGGTATGGAGAGAGACGCACCCGATGATTGAACTCAGTAAGCATTAGCTACAATCATAGACTCAACAACCAAACAGCATCATTATCATTAAGATAGGACCCCCGTCAATACAAAGCTTTTTAATATTTTCAAAGGTTAGTTAATTAAACGAGAGATTTAATCAAAAAATCTCTTTATAAACTTTCCTAAAACTGCCTGATATTTCTAATCTTAAGTCTAGTTCGCAATTAATTTCTAAAATCCTTGCATGGGTTCAAAAACAATCAGTACAATTATCCACTATTGCATCAACTTATGCCTCTCGAATTGTTTCCGCCTTCAAACTGACTTGATATTGTTTTAATGGCCCAACCATTTGATTAACCCATAATAAAAAGCCACAACCATGGGGGATCAGGCAAATAAAACAGGTCAGTTAACGTTTCGAAGCTTCGGGCTCAGTCCACACTCTAAATCCGAATCGGGTTTTTCTCCATTGCATTTGGGGATGTCATAAAAAGCCAAATCTTGACATTAGCAGCACCAAATGCCATGGCATTTGTAGAAGAAGCTCTGCAAAGCTAAGCGGTGAATGTGAAATGAAAGCTATTGGCCGCAAAACATGGCAAACGTGTCATTTGGACCGGCAAATACGTCAAAGAATTCATCTCGATCTTGAAACGTGATTGGATCCGAAGTGAGTATTTGCTGGCCAAAAGGTTTTCACACCTCGACTTGAGACTATTTTAAGAACTGCATTGTTCACATACTTAAAAGCGAGTTTGGAATTTTTGCCGCAGCTGCATAACCAGATTCCGGACCACAGATCAATGATTTAGAATTATGAATATTGTGAATTATGGGATTTTAAAAGCGGACTTTGGATTAAGCGAGACAGCTTGTAATCATATATGGCTTATTCCTGAGGTTCGTAAAGAATAGCCGGAATAGCCTCGTTCATTTACATATCTAGTGTTCCTTTCATCGGAGTAATTCTCATTTCGTAGTGTTCAATCAAGTCTATTAATCACTTGAATGGCTGAGTTATTAAGGCATTATATAGCATCCCATAAATATGCTAATATTGTAATGAGGGAAATAACAGGGGTAAACTGTGGATTCGATGGAAATATGGTAAGAGTTCAATTAATAATATTTATCATAAATTATTGTAATATTCAATTATTAAAACAACTAGATATGAACTGAAAGCTAAATTATATTTACTTCTTTTTTTGTTTTAAATAATATTTGAGTCATTTTGTCGGGTTTTACACTTTTGCTTTTAGTCCAATCTTTAACACAACTCAAAAGTCCCCAATATTATCTTACCCTTGGGTAATAATACAAATATTATGTCATTTTACAAGTTCCGATAAGAGAGAATAAAAAGGGTTATGATGCAACGACTTAAAACCAATGGAAGGTTACACCAAATTTACATGGTAGTTTACTATATTTAAAATATACAAATTTAAAAAAAATTTGAATTCGATTTGATTCATAGGGAAATAAAGAGGATTTATTTTTCCAGTTTTTAAACAGTAAATCATACAGCAACTGTTTTTTGCTGTATATTTTCGCCACTTTTAAAGCACTTGACATTGTCGACTTATTGTTGGCACTTTTAGGATCGGCATTTGTAACGGCTAGACAAAGATTAGCTATAGCTATAGTAACTGACCGAGGTGGGGCTTGGAAAATATTAAATAACGACGACGAATTTCCAGTTTGAGCTTGAGGTGGTTTTTTGTTTTAATATTTACAAATGCCCGCAATGACAATGACGCATTACGACAAATGTGTTAAAATAAATATAGACGGTTCGCTCTTCTAACCGCAAAGGTGGAAAAAAAGTAGAACAGCATAATTCATTCAAAATGCCCCCAAAAAAACTAAAAAAAAAAAATAAGACTCACATAAAAAAGTGGAAGAATTTTTTGTTTTACTTTTGGACATGACATCATAACCAGATTTCGGGCACTTCAACGCTCAAACGAAGAAGCATCTGAAAGATCTTCAACTCTGCGTCCCAAGTGCCTGCACATAATGGCACTCAAATAAAACAATTAAGGCCCACATGAGCACGTCAAGCACGATGAAATCATTTGCAGGATACCCAACAGCATAAACAGCAAACAATGCCTCTATAAAGCTGCCCCAAAATAAGATTGCCATCAATTTGGGAATTTAAACGCTGGCCAAAGGCTCGTGCAGGTCGCATGCCAAAAACGCGGTTCAACAAAAATTTCAAACAAAACCCAAAAAAAGATAAATAAGAAAACAGAAGAAGACGAAAATGTTTGGCATTGAGCCCCCAGGCAAAAAGAGAAAAAAGAAGCAGAAAAAAAAAAACGACCGAAATTAAATCAAAATAAATCTCAATAAAATGCGTGCTTTTTGGAAATTGCGCGACGCGCCAATGATGCTGAAGAAGCTGCTCGAGACGACGGCCAGTCTGCGTCTGCCAGCGGCTAAATAATATAAATAAACCGAGCACGACTGACAATACTCTATCCTAAAGGTTTTTCTATCCCATTCAGAGCTTTGTTAACAATACATTTGATTGGTATTTGTTAAATGCATTTTATAGAGGTTTAAAGTTTGAAAAGCACTTTCAATACAAAAGATATTTTTATTGCTTTATATTTTTTGTTTCACAAAGGTTATTTGATATTCTATGAGCTATGGGATCAACTACGAACATGAAAATATGAATTTAGCTCAAACGTAATTCTTCATTTCCAAAAAGAAGTTTCTTACTTCTTTCAAATGTTTTGCCCAATCTCTCGTCTATTTTTTCCGATACTTTAATCATTATACCCGTTACTCGTAGAGTAAAAGGGTATATTAGATTCGTGCAAAAGTATGTAACAGGTAGAAGGAAGCGTTTCCGACCCTATAAACTATATATATTCTTGATCAGGATCACTAGCCGAGTCGATCTAGCCATGTCCGTCTGTCCGTCTGTCCGTCTGTCCGTCTGTCCGTCTGTCCGTCTGTCTGTCCGTCTGTCTGTCTGTATGAACGCTGAGATCTCGGAAACTATAAAAGCTAGAGGATTGACATTTTGCATGCAGATTCTAGGAGTTCCTACGCAGCGCAAGTTTGTTTCAAAAGGGTGCCACGCCCCCTCTAACGCCCACAATCGCTTATATACGATTTTAAAAATTTCAATATTTCGGAAAAGTAAAAATGCAGTTTTATTGTGTTAATGAATACCTATCGAAATGTAGAAGAAATTTTTTAAATCGGACCATTCGTTAAAAAGTTACAGCGGATCAAAGTTTTTATCTTCATGTCCTTCGCACTCCCTTTAGCTGAGTAACGGGTATCTGATAGTCGGGGCACCCGACTATAGCGTTCTCTCTTGTTTTTCTGCTTAACTGTGTTAGTTTGTCCACAGTGTTCTTAAATAAATTGATCATATTTTTTCCTAAATAGGTATGTGTGCTCGTTGGTTTGTTTTCGGTGTGCATATCTTGATAGCTAATGAATTCTAGGACGTACTGCATTTGTTCTTCTGGAGAAGAAATTTTCGTAGCTCGATCTAAACAGCTTTGAAGAAATTCAGCGTAGGAGGCGCATTTTTGAGAGTTTGATGCACGACTGATGGCATCTTCCAAAGATCTCTTGACATTATGGAAAATATTTGACCACGTATCGTCGGTATTAACATATTCCAAGAGTTCGCAATTGTTTCCCAGTTCCGACGGCAGACCGCTGGTGATACTCTAGGATTTACATATGGAATGATTTTTTATGAATAAACTAAATGATTTTTTCTTATAACAAATTCTTACCAACACAATGAGTAAAATAATTATTAGAGAGTAACGCATATCTCGATGCATTTAGAAAAACTGATTGCCTTCGAAAAATGTACTGTCGTTTTTATAGCCAAACAAAAACTACCTGCCTTTTATGGAGGATGTGCAACATTGCAGGACGAACCAACAAAAGGTCTAGGCAACGAATACAGGTATCAGGAAGTTAAGGTTAAAAGGGATATTCCAAGTTTTTGTTACGGGTAATTCCGTTCATAGCAGATTCCAATGAAAACTTCTTTCAAGAATATTTTAGATATATTTATTAAAAACATTTGCTTGGTTATAACTTTAAACGATAAAAAGTTTAAATTCTTATTGTTCAAAATCAGCAATACATTTTAATTTCAAACGGTTTCAAACTAAGGCAATTAACACAAGTAGACACCACATTTTTTATCAAACTGTTACATTACATTTCTTAAACGGAAAACGTGTCAAATACTGTAGCGTGAGAATCGAGAATCCAGATAAGGAATTTTTAATGGCATCCACATTTGTATCAATTTGTGTCACTAAATTGTGATATTCGTTTTGATCGCTGGCACTTTGGCTCAATTCACGTGCATCTTTTGCCATTTTATCTAAGACACTTGAATACACAAAAGTGTGTGTTCCCTCAGTTTCAAAGCAGGGACCGCTATTATATTTCTCTGATGATGCGTTAAGATATTCAAATTGTTGTGCCCAAGGACTTGAAGAAGTTAAGGCATTCCCACGGTTTTGCAAATCTCGGAGAGAGGCCACATATTGTTTGCAGGAAGGATATGATTCCGAAGAAGATATTTTTGTCTCCAAAATGGATTTAGCTAAATTTTGATTCAGTTCCCACCAAGACTCTTTATTATCTTGGAATCGGGTAATATTTTTGAAGAAATCGCAAAGGTTTTCCAAGTTTGCTTCCAAAGGAGCGCTTTTCACGGATATCTGTGATTAATAGAAAGTATTATAACTTAGTTTCGAAATATTTAAGCAATATCTCACCGGAAAAACCAGACAAACAACGACGAGATGGAAGTATACATTCTTATACATTTTAAAGAACTGTATTTTTCTCAAAGTAAACACGCTGCTTTATATGAATTTACTATCTCGGAGTTCTATAAATACCCAGAGATAATTGAAGCGTCTCGATTACAGAGCTGGTCTGTTTTATTCTTTTATTGTCTTAGCTAAAGACTCTTAAAAATTACGTTACCCTTTCAAGGAAGTTTCCCATTCCAGGACGGACTAACAAAAGACTTAGGCAACAAACTCAGGTAGCCGAAAGTTCAGGTGAAAAAAACGGTGATGGGTCTCGCATATTTTCGAAGGTATTTTTCGGGGTTTTTTCCCCCGGGGCGAATGAGCAAACCTTTTGGGGTAGGGGTATGCTAATTGTGTCAGCCACCCACTGCCACACCCACTGACCCGTGACGCATCTGCCACAATCTCGCTTCCTCCGGGTAATTCCGATTGTGGATTCCTATGACTCTATATCTTATCGATTGAGCGGCACGAGGTGTGTCGTTCCTTTTCAACTTTTTGCTACATACATCCATTTGCAACCAATTGTTCAATATTTAAACAATTTATGAGCCACAAAAGTACACAATATATAATGGGAAGTGCGACAAGTACAAAAAGGTCAGTAATTAGTGGAGTTTGCTTTAGTCGATCGACAGTCGTGAAGTGAACCAGTAAACCGAACGCATTGCCAGTGAAATAATATTAAAAGGATTAAAAAGGATACTCTAGCGAAGCCAAGTGAAATCAATGACATCATTGGAATTTATCCACAAATAATAACAAATAGCTGACACCGCCTTGCACCAGTTCGTTCTTCGAAGAGGCTCGTTTGGCCGCTGCCACTGCGAAAACAAGTTGGTAATTTTTGATTAACACTCTTGGGACATGCGTACGTGTTTATATATTCATCATCAAATTAAACCAGCCTCGGCTTCGAGATGTGAACAACGGCACAAACAAAATCACAGGCCGGGCAAGCGGCAAATGGAACGATAATCAAAAAAATCGACACTAAACGATTGCCAAATATTTAATTTGTTTTATTGAAAGGGTTTTTCTTTTGCCTTCGATGCCGGAAAGTTGATAATTGTAGCAGTAACAGAGAGCAGGAGCAAACCGCTGAACAACAAAATTGATTGCATAATTATTAACGAAAGCACAACAAAAGCGAACAATTCGCAAAGTGAAAATTGCGTGAGCTGCATAAATTCTCGATGCAATAAATTTGTTTTGAAAAAGTGGGGAACTCCTTTTTTTCGCTCTTACGACTTTTATATACCCTTGGTGGTTTTTGTGGTTGCTATAACTTTTTAAAAAAATATAAAATCTTACCCAACGAGAACTTTGACCAAATGCCCATGGCTCCTCAGTGAAACCGCAAAAATAGTACTTAATAACCCAACGTAGTGCCGCTATTCAAAACCGAATATAGAGTGGTTCAATGGTTTCAGCCAAAGACCTCAGTGTTAGGAAGTTTTTGACAGAGGCACGTAGGTCAAGATGGGCACGATTTTGCATGGGAAATACAACAAGTCAAGCTCAAGACGCTCACCAATTTGTCATACAAGCTTAAAAGCAACAGAAAAATTTTTTTGAACCTCCAAAAGGTTTTGCGGGAATAACAATAAAATTTGCTTTTACAAGAGAAAAGTTGTTGTTTGTGCCACACATTTTTCATGGCCATAAGAATGGAATAGTTGTGTTTTATTCAACATTCTCGGTACTCACAGGTACTCGTTTGGCAAAACTAATTTCTTTGGAATTTGTAAGGCTCAGGTAAAGAAAGCAGAACTAGCAGGCCCTTCATTATTCACAAAAAGAGTTAAAGGAAGCCTCAACGTTTCCGCATACAGTATTTAAATAAAGAAATATACATATATGTATACACTATGGCCCACTATATATTTACGCGCTTGTATTTATTATGATTTTATTGATGCTATCAGCGACTGGCAGTCGGAGTTGTCATATTAAATTCATTTCACGCTCCATTTTAATGCGCCGGCCAGTCGGGTAGTTGAACTTCCTACACAAGTTCAGAGTCGCTCGGTTTTGCATGAATTTCGACGACCGCCGAGGCGATTATTTATTTGTATTCACTTTGCATGCGAATATTTTTTCGCCATAATGATTCCCTATCAAAAAAGGTCAACATGCAAAGAACTTTGCTAGAAAAAGTCGCAAAATTTAATAACTTTGAACTTGAAATAAATAAGCATTAGGACACTGTAGTTCAGTTCAGCGATAATGATCTTTAGGGAATTACATTTTTATCAACTTTAAAATTGAGAATCCTGGCATTTAGGGTTCCTTTCAGTTTTCTTAAAAATAAACTTACACACTTGTTTATACACTTTGTTTTATATTGATAAGGAATACAAGTATATACAAAATGTTGATAAGACATCTCCTCTAAGAGATCCTATAAATACAGCCGCAACCATCGGAAAAACCTCAGTAAATTATAAATAAATGAGAAATGCTGATTCCTCGGACCATTTTTTTCCTGGCACTGCTTGTGAGTATTTCTAGAAGGCCACGCCCTTTCAGAAAGTAATTCTTCCTTAAAAACCCCAGGCACTTGCCAGGACTAATCCCGCGGAAAGGAAAAACGCAGCTATTTGTGAATTTTTCCATCACGTTCAGGCATTCCAAGATGATCAATGGGAAGATTCTGTGACTCTGATGAAGAGACTTCTGGGGGAAATGATTACAGCTCTATTGCCGTATCCCGAGTATGCAGAATACAAGGAAAGCATGCAGGCCTATCTGGATCGGGGAAAGAGTATCGTTAAATCGAGTTCAGTGCAAGAAAAGATGGCTTACTTTCAAGGATTTAATGAAGGCGGTGATAAGCCCATGCTAACAGGATCACCAGCCAAGAAAAAAGAGCTCACTAGACCCCTAAATAACTTCCAAACGAACATGATTTTTAATGTGTTAACTGAGTTCCACAAAAAGCTTATCAAGGCGGCAGACGATATGGAAAGAGTTGTACGCCTTTCAGATAACTCCTCAATGGGGGAACTATTTAGACTTATTGATCAATATCGGAAAGAGGGCTTGGGAAGTTTGACTGAAAACATTGCCTCTCGTATTCTGGCATTAAAGGAACAATATGAATGTGTTTAAAATTAAAAGCAATTATCATTTAGACAAAATATTAAAATATACTTAAATAATATTCTGCTGTTTTATCTCTTTTTATATAACTTATAGGCTGTTTAACTGATAATAAATAAGTTCGACATATTAACATGATAAAGATCTTGACATTTCAGCTGTGATATCAGCCATGTTTAGTGTTATATGTGTGATACGGCACTGGTTGCATAACAGGTTGATGATACCATGGGAACAGAATAGCCAACTGAGCGAAGATATTTCCATGGCGCTGCCACCGAACAATCGTGTCATGAACATCCAATATCCAATTGTGGCATCAGCTCAGCTGCTCCAGCACGTTGCTTCGGTTTATCAGTGGCACGCTCTTCTAGATTCCGATTCCAATTCCAAGCTCAGCCATACAGCTATACCCATACCCATAGTGATATATACCTGCTACGTCGGCCGAGTGAAGAGAGCCGAAAGCCGACGAGCTGATCAGAGCGGAGGTATCCGAATCGGTGTAGCTATAGGTATACGTATAGGTAGATTTAGAGTGGAAATGAGCAACGAACGAACGCAGCTTGTGTTTCTGCTTTCAGTTTCATTTGAGACGTTGACGCGATCGCCAGCAAAAAAATACCAGGCAGCTGCCAAACTTCAAGTCGCGCATGAGAAATATATATTTTGAAACGGGTTAATCCAATACACAGCCGAAAATCGAACGCTCTTAATTTTATAAATTTTTTTCTTTCGCTCGTTTTGCCATAAATGTCGAGCGAAAATTTCTGCTGCAAGTGAATTTCTGTGTGTGCTTTTGTTGTTGTTGTCGTGATTTGCATAATCTGCAAGTTAATAAACAATGCAAAGAAGTGGGCAAAAATCATAAATAAAGTGCACCGCTTAAAGTGTAATTAAAATTCATTAAGATTTTTTTCGTGCACAGAGCAAGGAAAAAACGAGTTTGTTGCCTAAGTTATTTGTTTTGAATTTCAAAAATTCGCCAAAACATTTAATAATAAGAATTAAACAAAAAAAAAGCTGGAAAGCTGACTTGAGTCCAGGCCACGTCGACAAGAAGTTCCATAAAAGGCAAGTGCAAGAATAAATTAAAATATTTGTAACCAAATAATAAATGTAGGAAATAAATGAATGCAAAATAGAAAGATAAACTATAACGATCAAATTAGCGTAGCAACAAAAGCAATCCGGAACAGGCAAAGCAAAAAAAAAAATGTGAATCAATTTAATTTAAATTTGTTATTATGCAGCAATAAAAGTTTATACTTGGCTCACACCAACGTTTTGTTCTACGAACTGAATCCCATTAGTCTTATGACTCTTAATTGTTGTTGGCTCAGTCCAATAGAACCCTTCAAAAGCCTTTCAAAGCCCCCGTAAAAATCAACAGAATCAATTGGCTTTTCAATGCCAAGAAAATCAACAATAAATGCGCGTGGGTTCTCTAAAGGGTCTGACCCCCCAGCCCCCTGATTCCACCCGACTATCCACAGGTATTCAACGCTGATGATCGTCAAATAAAGCTGCCACAATTAGAGTGCATTTCAAGTCGATTCAGCTAACACGAAGGGGCTAGTCAGAACGAAAAGGGGGGTCTGGAAACGCAATTTGAATTTATAATTTTCGCAATTATTTTTCATTAATTTGTTGGGGCCATAAAAACGGCAGAATAACGTCCGAGTGATATAAAAATCATAGCGAAAATAAATGCTTACGCGTCTGTTAATCACATCTCGTCGACTGACTCCGCGTAATTGCAAAAGCAACAAAAAGAAATATGTAAATAAATAAAAACCGACAACGTGCTCGGCTCTCTAATTTGTTTATAGAACTTTTTGTTGGCGCTGTATATTTTTTATGAGCCCCAGCGAATCAGCTGCTGACGGCTTTTGTGGCTGATTGATGGACTGCCCCAGCGGGTTTTGTTTTTCAGTTTTTATCCAAGCACTTTTCCTTGATTACAAAATAGAGTGCCTATAAAAAATGAAGAGCCTCATTGAGGTGTGCACCGTTAAGGTCCACTCTAATCAAGTTACTTTTAGTACATGAGAAATAATGAAATAGTTAGAATGTTCATCGTTAAATTAAAACTTAGGATTCTAGTTCTAATTTTTTTTAACTATATTATCTTAGATAATTTATCTACTTCCTTAAATATACTTCTTTATTTATCTATCTGTTTGACTGCCAAAAAATATATAAATTTCCCTCTTATAAAACTTTGTGGCAAAGTTGTTTATTCTTTATCCAAATTTATTTCCTGGCAAAAAGAAAATAGCTTTCCCCAAAAACTTTCCATATTTTTCGGAACTGAGTTGTTCTGCTGGATTCATGCTAAACTTCCTAAGAATTACGTGACCTGTAGAAGCTGAAAATCTAAAAAATAAACGCCACACAGCAATCGCTAGTAGAAGATGTCTTATGAATGGTGGTTATGAATTGTGCAATGGATTTTAGCATTTAAGCCGATAAAAACCAAGTATGAAAACGACAGACGGACGTGTCTTTTACGAATTTATTTTGTAAAAGAGAAGAGCTCAAGAGAGGCCTAAGCGATGGCTATTAAATTGCATGATCCCCCGCTGACCCCCAATCGAGTGACCTTGCAACGCACAAAAGTGTACAAATCAATTTGAAGTTGATTCGGGCAGCCTGCCAAACGAGAAAAACGATCGCAGAATATTTTAACTTAATTTATTTCCATTTTACGCATCAATGCGATACTTTTGGATTTCGACTTGAGTGTGTATTTTATTTTGTTTTACTTATTTATTGGTTTTCGGTGTTTTTTTGCGGCTTTGCATATTGTTAATTAATGGCAGCTGCTCGTTGTTTTTTTTAGAGGAGGAGAGCTCTTTATACGCTGCACATCACGAGTCGAGAGCCAAGAAATCAATCACTCAAATTGATTTGTGGGTAATTTGTTATTCAAACAACTCCAACACAAAGCGGCTGCAAAAATGCAACAAAAAGTTTAAATACACAAAACGACGAGTGCAGAGGAAAATAGCCATATCGTAAAAACGTTCGCATGATGTGCTTTAACCAATGTGTTAATTACATTTGCTTAATTAAATATTATAAATTGATCAAATTGAAGCCAAAAAGTTAGCGTGTTCCCTCCGGCTTAAATCAAGTTTAAGCATTTATTTTTATTCACAAATGAATTCACATGTATCAGCTTACACATCCACGAGAAGTCGTCTTTTTTTCATTATGCCAAATTTGTTTTATTGTCAACGTCGTCGTCTTCGTTTTCTGTGTTTCTATTTTCCTCACCTGCAGCAGGTTTAAATAAACCTTGACCATATCTTTGTATATATATTTTTAATACCCTACCCGGTTTTTTTCCAACGAGCTACTTGGGCTTTTAGTTGATTTGCCGCCAAACTTTTCATCGCATACACGTACTAACATTTTAGCTGTCCTTTATGAGTGTTTATATTAAACGATGCAGATAAGTTTCAAGCATCAAGGCCTATTTTTACATTGTTGCCTTCTCATGAACATGACTTTTGCAAAATATTTTTAAGTCAACATCGAAACATCTTTTTTTATTTTCTGCAAGTTTTTAAAGTTATGGTATATTTTGCATTCCTTCTGATATTTTTTTAAATACTTAACAAATAATGGAACCAGTTTAGCATCATTTTCCAACAAGCCAAACTACAGATTAGTTTTAATATAATTGAAGCTGATGATATTCAAAGTTAGATAGCTCTGACGTCTTATCTTTTTCTTATTTCTTTCAATAGTATTAAAAAACTTTCAAAAGAAGAAACTAATTTTACCACAAAATTCCCCAGAATTTAGCAGTTAAATGGAAAATTCCTCGAATCTGGGCTCCGGCAAATTGCTACAAATGTTTGATTTGTCAGGCATAATTATATAAAATGATTTTAATAACAAGATAATAATCACAACAAGCATAACATTTCACTTTTTCACATTGCGAAAGTGTTGAAAAGAAGACAGACAGACACCAAAAACCTATAGAAAAACTATAAATAACGGTTCGCCAACAAAAGTGAACTCGAAATAATAATAAATAATTGCGTCAATTAAGTAAGCGAAAGAAGTCAGCCCAATCAATCATTGAACTCTCAAAAGCTTTCCAAAAATCGTATTTTGACGTATTTTGTCCGCTTATTTTGTTGCAGACTTTGATGGTGACAAGTGAGGATTGCTAGAGGCAAATATCACTCGAAATGATTTTAAGAACGCAGCTTTGGCTGGGAATTCTCCTGGTGGCGCTGCTCCTAAGTGCTCGCGTTTCTAGCGAAGATGAGGATTATGGTGGTGAAATGGTGGGTTCCAGCCTGGGCGGCAACGATGAGATCTACGACCCGGCACAACTGGACGCCGAGGTGGAAAAGGAGATGGAACAGCATCGGAATAGTCTGGAGGAGGATCGGGGAACCGAAAGCTCCCAGACCATGGAGCTGGAAATGAGTACCATGCGGCCAATGGAATCCAGTAGGATGAACACAATGGCTCCATATTCCGAGGAGAATACGGCGGCCGAAATGATGGAGGATGCTCCAACGCAGAAACGGACGTCCAAGGTGGACAAACCAGCTCGGGATTACTATTACGAGGACGCGCCTGAGGATGAGGTAGTGGCTAGCACCACAGCCCGAGTGGCCACCACCATGATTCCGGAGTATGTGCGTCAGGCCAAGGCGGAGAGATACCCGCAGCGTGACCAGGAGCACAATGCATCCGACTACGCGGAGGAGGAGGAGGCCACCAAAGCGGTGGATGAGCTACCACCCGCCGATCAGTTCTATCGGGTAGAGCAACACGAACCCATTCCCCAGGCTCAAGTGCAACAGCTGCCCACTCAGGACAAGCCCAATCCGTTCAAGTACTCCTCCGAGGATGAATACTACGATGAACCAGCTGAGGTCAAATCGAATCCCATCACCACCTCAACCACAACCACAACCACCACAGAGGCTCCTCCTTTGCCCATTCTAAGGGCTCGTTTCGGTGGCTTCCCCTGGGCCACCACCCAGGCACCCAATCCTCCGGCTGCTGCTAGTGCCACCACCTCAACCACAACCACATCGACCACAACAACAACAACCAGCACGTCAACCACAACACCCAGTCCCAGGAAAACAGCCAAAACACATCCAAGTGTCCGGTGGCTCAAAGCCGGAATTACTGCCCGCCGATCAGCTGCGCAACTACATCAAGGATGTCTACATCCGCATGCCCCTGGCGGTGATCGTAGATCCTTCTTCGGCATCCTTGGAGCAGGCAAAGCGACTCTACATCGATGCCTTGCAGGACAAGAACATCGACATCAAGATTGTCTTGGTAACGCTTAATGGAGCCGGTGAGTTGGTTTCGAAAATATTTTATAATCGCAAGTTACTTTCTTAAAATTTGCTTCCTAAATTCCTAAATTATTCTTGCTTCCTTCCTAATAAATTATTCTAATGATATGATAGCATATTATTCTATACCTGAATTATGAACCCGGTGATAGTTGCTAACATTAATAATCTCAAGTATTCTTTCTTGTTTAGAACTAGGTGAAAATAAGCTATAGCTAAATTTTATCTCAGTTTCAAGGAAAAATTTCTGAAAAACAGAACTTTTTTTTAAAAGTGGATAACGACAGAAAGTGATCTAATCAGGGTACTTTTTTTTATTTTTTAGAAAAATATTTCTGATTTTTTTCTGAATTTCAAGGCAATTTTCAAAACATGGCGATTTTCTACAATTCAGGGCGATTTTTTTCGGAAGTGTAGATATTTCCTAATTTGTTCAACTGAATTTCTCCTTTTCAGGTGCCCCCTCTGCCTTCAGCTTCAACAACACCCGCGAGTTCATCGCTGGCCTGAATAGCACCAAGGAGCACGAGGGCGGCAACTCATTTGTGGGCGTCCTCCATGCGGCCGAGTTGGTTCCCTACGACAGTGCCGTTTTCATCTCGACAGCAGCGATTCCTCCGCACACGGAACTGGTCCAAGATGCGGCCATTACACTGCTGAAGAAGAGGATCAGGGTGAGTTGATCAACCCCTAAAGGGAATCCCTTAAGAAATTCCTTTAATAAATCAACATATCTTAATCCCCTTACAATCCCCAAATCTCTTTAGCTTTTCCTTCTTTGGTATGGTGAGCGTTCGGGCAGTGAGAACGAAACCGAGGACGCTGTGGGCGGCATCCTGGGCGAGGTGGCCATCCGATCTGGTGGCGAGATCATCCACATCGTGAGCACAGAGCACGGACAGCATATAGCTGGCAATACGGTGAGATATGAGCGCGATGATAGCCATCAGCGAAACGAGCAAACCTGACCCGCAATTGGGGTAATTAAAGTGTGCGGGCCAAAGACAGATTCGGCGGGGAAGGCCTAAGTGTTGAGAAACCGAAAGTGGCAACCAGATCCAGCTAAATGTGTTGCCCAAGCCAGCCAACTGAGACGGAGCCACTTGGATTACCTCTCCAGTGGCCAGGCGGCAACGGCAGCGACAGGTGGTGCTCAAAACACCAGCGACTTGTTGTCGATGATGGTGCATCTTTTGTTGCTGTGCGGCCACTGCAAAACTAGGTTATGGAAAGAAAAGTGAAGGGCAAGTCTATGGGTAGAAAGGAAGCCTAGACAAAAGTGCCGAAAATAACCCACACGGCGAAAATGGCAAATCAAGTATTTTGTACTCAAATTCTGCAATGCGGAACAAGAAATTAGCATAATTTGAATTTCCTGTGTTTGGGGGTCTTGGGAAGCCCAGAAGCAAGTGTAGATTTAGATAAATTAGTGTTTCTTTAAGTCTGATTTCTGTACAAATGTATATGGTGGTCCTTCAAGCCAGATTATACAGTAACAATTAATATAAAAAATTTCATAAATCTGTCTCTATCTTTTTAGCTCACCCTGGTGGCGGACGCGTATCAGGGCGTCCAAGAATTGGATCTGCCGGTAGACACGACGTTGTCCAGTCTCCATGTCCGCATCGATGCGAATATGAGACGGGCCACGATGGAGACGCCAAATGGTGGTTAGTCCTGCTCGAGATTCGAGTTATACCAGCACCGACTCCAATTGCTCTATCGCACTTACTAACGCAGGGTTGTATTTTAGTGTTTAGCAACTTAAATGTGTAGGAGTCTGTGTGCCAAACCTACCTAGATCCTAAGTCTAATCCTCTTGATAATGGCACAAGCTTTCAATAACTTCCCAAAATGGAATGACAACTGTACTACTGTGTAATTTATGTCCTTAGCTTTTAAGATCCTTGACTAACCCCCAAACAAATCGCTGCTCTTTAATCCCAAGTCAGCTATGCTGATCTTTGTATATAGCCGAAGTCCCAACGCTTTCCTTAACCAAAACGCTAGTATAAAAATAATGCTCAACAAAACAACACTTAACACTTAACTGTAGTACAAAGAAATTTTCAATATATATGTTTACTGTTTTACAGATATAAAGTAATAAATGTTTTAGCTTTTTAAGGGTCCACAAATAAAACGAAAACGATAAAAAGCAAAAACTGATTTAACACTAAACCACAAAATATGACGATTTTAAATGACGACTGTTATGGGCTATAAATTAGTTAGCCAAACAAATACAATACATTTTTACCAGTTAAACTCGTTATTTTTTGTGTGTAAAGCTATAATATTATATATTATTCACCTTAACTTTATGTCACCACTTTGTGTTCTAGTCCCTTTTGTGATTCGTCCTTATAGGTAAGTATAACACATACGATTTCTAATTCAATTTAATCATAGAGCACTTTCAACTGTCCGGCACAAAATGTTATTGTTGACTAACTTTAAACGTAGAATGGTTAGGAGAATGGATCAAATATAACGAGCGTTCCCCCCAGATTAATCATACGCCACGTCGAACGACCGGACAAAGTCCATTTTTTATACTTATTGTATAGCTTATAAAACTGAAGATTGCACGGGTCAGACAGAAAATAATTATGACTCAAAAATGATGGAACCAAACGTTTCAAGTCAAAAACAGCGACTTATCGCACAGAACGAAAATAAGTTAGTGAAAGTATTGCAATCTTTTTATAACTTTTGGAACCGCCGATTATAAACAAAGTTATCTCCCGGAAGTTACCAACACAAGCGCACACATGTACATACATGTGCGCTCTGAAGAAATCAATTTTTTGGGGCGGTTTTTTTCATTGCCTGCCTCAACTCCAAATGAATTGTGACCTTTTCGCGGAGCTATTTAAATTTATAAAACACTAAAATCACATATATTTTGCCATAATATATGTAAATTCAAAAAAAACTGGACAAACATCTAGGCATATGCGAATGAAACTTCCATTTGGAGCTGTTTGTCCCCTTGACTTGGGCTCTTTTATATCTTTTGAAATTGCAGTTTTTTTTCTGGTAACCACATACATACATACATTTTTTAACAACAAAATTAGGCAAACCGCCTCACTGTCAAGGGCAAGTTGAAAAAGTGGCCAATTTTCGTTGATTTTTTACACTTGCTGGCTATGTCGTCAGCACTGATCTAGACCGGCAATTAAAATGGGGCTTTGTCAACACTTTAGCGGCGTTTAATCGTTCGTAATTCGCTGATTTCACAAGGAAAACCAATTGTTTTTGTCGCGATTTTTTGTAGACGTGTTTTCTTTCACAACAACTACGGCGCAGCTGCCAGGGCAGGGTTGCCAAGGTCTCGCAGTTGCCTACGGACTGCAGCGAAATTTGTTTATTTAATGTTTGCTAATTAATAATTATCATTGTGGTTTTAAGAGAAACGTTTGAGTCCCAACAAAGTCAAAGTTTATTGCACAATTAAGATGTTTTAATTAAAAGTGGAACGAATTGCGTAGGTCTGGCAACGCCGGCCAAGCACCTGTAACAGCTGTCCGCATTGCGTGGTGAATGGCAAACAGCTGTTGGATTTTTGTTTATTTTTTGTGTTTACCTTTTTTTAGAGATAAATCTGAAGAAACTGGGCAAAATCAATGGAGTTAATATCTCCGAGACGTCGAATCCCCAAGAACTGGATGCCTACGTACCGCTGAACAAGCTGCGACGCGCCGCAATTTTCAAATTGAAACTACAGCCCGAGTTGAACGAGAAATACAATGTTTTCGTGCGCGCCGAAAGAAAAGCGGATGTGTTTTTGGGTGAGTTATAGAAGAAAACAACCTGGCGGTATCGATTGCCGCACAGAACTGAGCCGCCGTTAGCTAATAGATTGCTCTGCGACGCTGTTTCGAGTGATAAGAGCCCGGGATCTATTCTGTTTGCCCGAATGAATACGAATCTCGGGCTGATAACCGCTCCGCAACCTTGGATGACAACGTCAGTGTTGACGCCATCGTCGCTACATTTCCATATTATGACTACAACACGTGTGCGCAGCTGATTTACTGATGTTTTTCCCCTCATTTTCTCACAGGCGACATCATCAAGCGCATCGATAGCTACTACAAAAGCGGCCAAACGAAGGCCAAGTCGGCGAAAATCCAGTTTCCCGACAACGAAAAGGACACCGAGAAGCTGGAGGAGGAGGATGTGGACTCGCCGAAGAACGAAATAGAAACCTTTTCGGAGAAGGAAATCCAAAGGACTCCCAATCTCAATCAAACCCTTTTGGCCTCCAGCACGGGACAGCCGAGGAGCACCCTGAATGCCATGCTCCTCCAGCGATGTGGCACCAAAATCGAACTGGGCACTGAATCCAAGCTTTTGGTGATGCCTGGCCAGACAGCCTCGCTGCTCTTTGAGGTGACCAACATGAAAACAGAGACGGTTTACTCCACCATTCAGGTGACCGACGAGCGGCGCTTCCTGGTCCAACTAAATCCCACCAGGTGGGTGTTTTTCGAAACCTTTCTGCTATTAGGTTTACAAAATTACATGGTTTTTCACTTGTAGATTAAATCTGCGCGCTTTGGAGACGCAGACAGTGCGTCTGACTGTTTTGGTGCCCACTGGCACAGCTCAGGGCACCACGGACCGCATTACCTTCACCAATTATGGTCGCGAAACCTCCACGCTGGCCGTGAATCTTAAAGTGGTCTCCAGCATAGATGCTCAGGTATGTGAAGTGATCTTTTAGCACTTGTTCCTCCAATTATCTTAATGCCAAATTGTATTTTTTAGGACTCAACTGGCCCAAATTTGTCCTGGGAGTTTGGCAGCCGCTGTGATTATCTCACACCTGAATCCTTAAACTGTGGCGAACGCTTTTGGACGCTGGATGTCACGGCTCAGGACTGGCAGTCAGGCATGTTGCGTTTGCAGGCTACGCCGCCGGAGGGTCTTTTCTACAGGAACTACTATACGGCTGGCAGCACAGAACCCCTGAAGGCCACCTACATGGCTTCTTGCTGCGAACCCAAGGTATCCCTCGTCGCTTTCGATGCGGCAGGCAATCAGAGGAGCCTCACCATCGACGTGAGGGATGTTTACTTAAACGAAGCCGCCATTGCAGCTATTTGCCTAGGAGTAATTCTGCTCCTGCTGCTAATCGCCGCCCTTATTTGGAGCATTGTGTGGTGTTGTCGGCGGAGAAAGACAACGTTGGAGCTGCCCACATATAGATCCCACTCCACGAGGAGCATGGAGTAGATTGCTGTTATGTTAATGTGCCAAATAGAGAAGAAGATGACTCGAAAACGAGTCTAATAAAAATGCCATGGAAAGACTAGATTAGAAGTTGTTAAACTATAAAAGAAATAGTTTATAAATAATTTAATCATAGTGTTTTGCTGATTGCAAACTGAAAAAAAGAAGGACAAAACTGCCAAAAAAAAAGAAGAAAACATTTAGAAAGCCTCTAATCTACAGCTTATCAGGGAAAACATTATCAAAATACAAATTTATAGATCTCATTTGAACAGTATGACAAAATCAAGGCCCAAAAAGATCGCTAAAGAGTTTCGTAAATACCAAATTCTTTTATAATCCGAGTGAATCCTAAATCTCTTAACCCTCTTGAAAGTCAAACTTAGTAGAAACCAAAACAAGTGCTGACCTTACTCATTTTCCTCATTTTCTAAGAAGTTTTCGAGTAACTTGCTCTTAGCTAATCTTAATCAAAATATTACTATAGGGGTAGAAGGTCAACTGCCCCGCTTATCAGCTTATCATTACCATTACCGCACCCGAGCAACAGGTGACCCCCACTCCGCGTTGGATTCCCCAGCGAAACGGTGACCCACTTACCGCGGTTCAGGATGCCAGCGATGAGGACGGGCGCCGGTGGGGGCGTGGCATGGACCACGGGCGGGGCGGCGGGCAGCAGTTGCGGCTTGTTGGGAAAGTCATCGAAACTCAGGCCGGTCACGGAGGCGCTCAAAAGCGGATTTTTAACGACACGCGTCGGATTTGCATTGTTGTTTATACGAGCGGACACGTCACCTTTCGATCTTTCCGACATGTTAGCGGTTGTTTGGGGGCTTTTAATTGGGGTTTCTTTAAAGCCCAGGTGTAATGTAGGTACTTGGCTAGCTTAGAAGACTATTTTATCCACAGGATTTTCACACCCACGACTGTTTTTAAGCGGAAATCCCGAGAAAACTTCCAGGCAGGCAACTTTCTTCTTCTTTCCGCGCTTGACACTCACCGCGAAGAGCTTTCTACCAGGGCTGCAAAGCCTTTCGAAAGGGTAGGCGTAGGCTTAAAATCAGAGCCCGCGGATATTCAAAACGGTATTTTTCTCAAATATTTTGAAATTTCAGATTCATTACAAAAAACTTTAAAACTCAATTATCAAAAAATAAATAAATTTGTTTAAACCTTAATATTAATTATTAATTTATAGCACCTGCAGCCCTACTTATTTTATTTCCCTGCGAATGACAGTTTGACAAGAAGAAGAGTAGGTAGATTTGGATTATTAGTGGAAATATTTACTAAAAGCCTAAATTAATTAGTTTTTAGGTAGTTTAATCCAATAAAAGCAGTAGAGGACTTTCAGGGGCGTAAATCCCACATGCCAGTGCTCTAGGACAAGTGGAGCACCCTTAAACAGCGGTTTTTGCGGGGAGGAGACCACAACAAAAACACCCACCCACCAAATAATCCGCGATTACTCATCGCCGATATGTCTGGGAATCCTTTCGACAGCGACGAGGACCAAAGCTCCGCCAGCGGGGAGATCCTCGAGGGCTTCCTGTGTCCCATTTGCCGTGCAGACCTCAAGTCCATCGATGTGCTCACAGATCATTTTGCCCGCCAGCACGCCGAAGAGGAGGCTGCCTTGAAATCCTTCAAAGACATCTTTACCAAGGCGAAAAAGAAGATCCTGAACCCTTTTGAGGATGAAAAGGGAGCAGCCGCAGCCTCGCCTGCTGGCTCCTCCTCTTCGGGAGCCGCCAAGAATCCCAATGGCAACGGCGATCGCAATGGACCCAGTAATGCTCGCTCGCGTCACAATGTTTTTAACCACATGGCGAGGCAACAGGCAGGTGCCGAGTGCTCCCACTTCGAGTACTTCCAGTCCATTCGGAATCCCCGCCTGGAGCGATATGCCAGCGAAACGAACAAGTTGATCATCCGCCTGCACCGCCTGCTGAAGGATCTGCCCGCGGATTCGGTGCAGCGACGACAGCACGAACAGCAAACGGTTGCCTGGCTGGATGGCACGTCCGTGAAGTTGTGTCCCAGCTGCGCCAAGAGTTTCCACTTCGCGCGAAGACAGCATCACTGCCGCTTGTGCGGCGGCATCATGTGCAACGACTGCTCCAAGTTCCTGCCCCTCGAGGATGCCAGTTAGTTAGCCTAATATATTGAAATATAAGTAAACCTCTTAAGCTTTTTATCTATTATTTTGCAGTGCAACTGGCCAGTCTCTCCACCACCAGAAGTGAGCCTTTACAGCAGCTGCATCAGCATGAGAATGCCCTGCGGCTGTGCGAACACTGCCTCTGGCTGCTGGACACGCGGAGGGACATGCACGAGAGTCGCACCTGTCGCCCACTTCTCGTACAAGTCTACGAACAGATTCGCCAGCTGCAGAAGGAAGTAACCCCCGGATCTGGACATGTATCTGAAGATCATCAATAGCCTTAACGAAGGGGACACCATCTTTACGCTGGCGGATGCCGGTGCTCTGCGCGGCAAGATCGGTCAGGTGGCCGAGGCCATGGACATGAGGAGCAAGCGCATTTTAGCCATATTCTGTGAGCCAGGCAGCCGGGAGGAGGCCCTGAAGAAGGCCATTCGGTTGGGCTGCATCCAGGCCATCAAGGAGCGCATGCTATCGCTGCCACCACTGCCAGAGGAGGCGCACATCCGTCAGATGCAGGAGCGTCGACGCATGGAAACGCAGCAGCGCATCCTCACCGAGCAGCGGATGGCCATGGAGGCCTACGAGCGAAATAACCAGGCCGCCAACCAGTCGGGAGTGGGAATTCCGGGTCCCGAAAGTGGTTCCTTTGCCCAGGGGGTAAGTTTGTAGATTTTGCTAGCTAAAATACACCTATTATATCTTTGATTTACTCCCCAGTCGGATCTTCAATCCCTGACCAACTGGTCGGCACCGCAGGCGGCCAGCAAGTCCAGCCTGGACGATCCTCTGATTGAGCAAATCAACATCATCAAGGGCTACATTAAGCAGGCGCGTCAGGACATGAACTTTGAGGTTGTGGAGACCCTGGAGCTCAATCTTCGCGAGCTGCAGCGTGAGGTGTACGAGCGACAGCGCCACTCCCAAGGCAGCACAGCCGCCTCGCCCACAGAGGCCTAGGTATCCTATCCAGTATCCTATATAGTTGAATATATAACCATTCCCGCAATGACAAATTAAATGCTTTACGTTACGCGTTTGTGGTGTATTTTGTGCGAAAACTGGAAAATCTGGAAGTATGTGCGTTTGACGACAACTGAGATTTCAAAATGCAAATATCATTGGGGGATCTAAAATCTAGGACTTTAGACCCACGGCGGCGATCAGGGCCTTGACCTTGGTGATGTAGGCGCTCTGGGCGTCGGCATTGCTCAGCCCTTTTCGGTTGTTCCAGGCCTCCCACTTGGCCTTGCCCTTGAAGTCCAGGAAGCCGGGTTTATCTGGATTGGATTTGCATTAATTATGGTGGAGACTCAGTGGGGATAATTCCTAAAACTCACCTGTATTGCAATCGCCCACTGTGGCCTGCTTGTAGAGGCTGTAGAGCTCCAAGAGGTCATTGTCCGCTGGTGTCGTGTTCAGATTCTTCACATCCTCGGCCGCCTGGTTGAATTCCTGCGAATTACCCGGTTAATAGATCGCTCCTTGAGCATCGGGTAATAGTTTTGAGTATGTTGCCCAGCTCACCTGCAATTCGGACATGATTTCTAGGATTTTCTATCTAGCGGAAGTCTTTGGAAAAAAATTGCAAAAAAGGTAGGTTTGTTAGAGGTGGGGGAACAACGATGGAAACAATCGATGACATTTGCCGGCTATCGATGATTTTTGCGCTATTGTAAAGCAGCTATGCAATTAGGGAACAACTACAGAGCTCTCTCCAAAAAGCATTCTTTTAATTGGACTTTGTTAAAAATAAATAGCCCATACGCGTTATAGAATTACGATGCACTCATTTTCTGTTTAATTCCAAAATAATTTAAGATTTTTAATGAATGTGGCATGCCATAACTAAAAAAAATATAAAAAATAAAAGTACGTTTTTAAATAATGTCATAATATTTCTAAGTATTTATATTTGTTACACATTTTATAACTCTTGCATGATTCGTTTTTAGCCCACTGTACAACATGGCTCTCTCGCTCTCTCTGTATGTCGAACGCAAAAGTGAGAGGTTTATGCAATGAAGTTAGTAAATTCGTGAACTCTACATCTAAAATACAAAGGGATAATATAATTTTTATTACTTGTTGAATTGTATTTATGACTATGAAGACACACATTCAAAATATAATACATTTTTTTTATTTGCCCGCTATGTCATTAGTTAGTTAGAATGCAAATTATGACAATAAGAAATCCCTGAACACTTTTCCCGACTCACAACAAATCACGGTTGCCACTTCAAAAAATTTTGTTTGGTCAAATAAAGATTAAAAATTAGCGAATTTGAATAAAAAAGAGCCAAACCAGCGGGGTATCAGACATTAATCACACAAATTACAAAATAAAGTCCATTATTAAGAAAATTAATTCGTTTTCTTCAAGATTTAAATATATTTTATAGCTACTAGAAAAAAATTGCCAAATTCAATAAAAATGGGCCAAAGAGTCAACGCGAAAAAAAGAGCCCAGACTTGGCTCAAAAGAGCCAAATATGGCAACCGTGCAAAAAGACCAGTGCTACCATCTCTACCCAACTTCTAAATACATGAACTGGCCACTTTCCATGAATTGAGCTCCCCATAAACGCCGAGAGAAATCGGGTATTTAAGGCGACGACAGCGCTCTCTCGCCCACTCACTCGAAATGTTTTCATCCGCGCTGTTCGTGTTTTCGGTGTTCCGCTAAAAGTAACAAAAAGTGCACAAATCGCCGGGAGAAATGTTACATTAACGATATTTTGGGTTCCTGCTAATCACACGGATATAGGGATTCTGCGCTAGATAGTTCGCAACCCAAATCGGTGCAAATAACCGGATTCGCGCAACACAACGCGTCGCCTGTAAAAATCGAAGCCGAACCGAAACAATAACAAATGCGCTAAAGTGCTTACCAAATAATTTGCACCGACAGAAAAAAGCGGTGAAAAGTGAGCCAAAGTGATCGAAAAAGATCTGAAAAGGTCGGAAGAAGGGAGAAAGTGGATGGTTCATAGTGCGTTTCGTTGATAAATCAGTAAAAATCGTTCAGTTCAGTTTTGTTTCTGTTGTGGTCTCCTTCGCAGAGCTTATGCAAATGTGGTAAGACACCGTGTGGAACTTACACAAATTTTTTTGTTTTGCTCGACGCCAACTGCCTAGCAACTCGATAAAAAGAGCGCTAAAACCTGAAGGTTATAACATATTCGTCGGTTAACATATTCGAGATTTACAAATAACAAGTGTGAAGAGCTAACAAACACGCGTTTGAATTTGATTTTCCATTCTGATTTTTCCCAGTTCTAGTTCTTTGTGTTTTTGATGCTTCCCCCTTTTCGTTTATCCTCTGTTAGCTTTTGTTTGACTTTTCTGGCTACTTTCGGTCGCCCCGTCTCGCTCGCACACAATGTATTTTCAGCTGTTGATCTATTTTTAGTTTCATTAACGTACTGCAACTTTTTTAGATCCATTTATACGCCGCTATCTGTGTCAATTAGTTTGAGGAATTAGCGCAGGCTCAAAAAGCGTCAAATCAGCGTAAATAACTTTCATTTATTTACATTTCTGCGGGGAGATAAGCGGTTGCGTTGAGAACCCCTTTCATTTACTAAGAACTTCCTTTCAATGGCACCGATAACGCCAATGGAAGTTGACCCATTAGCCGCTACAGGCAGATTAGTCATGGTCACGGATAAGCGGTATTTAAATGAGAGCCTCCAAAATTTTAACAATGAAATTACAAACAGTAAAAAAACGTATTTTGTTAAAAAAACGTATTAAATGTTTTTTCTATATTAGGTTTTTTCAATTTAAATAAACTTTTTTTTTAAATTTTCAATTTTAGTATAACTGTATTACATATTATAAAATATTTATAATTTATGTCTTTTGTAAATTTTGTTAGCAAATTCTAGAATTTCGACTGCAGCTGTCTTCACAATTGAGTACAAATGAAGAGGGGTAAAAAACTGGGTTTCAGCCTTATCTGTCTTGAGTCTTGAGCATATGGCAAGAGGCCCACGACCTGCTCTTTGTTGTTTGGGGGAATGCGACTCATGGCATTTGTTTATTATTTACACACTTCAATTTAATGCCGGTAGTCATGTGATACGGGTAAAAGTGACGATAAAAATCGAACAATTACATACACATTTATTTTAAATTTGAAAACAAACATAAGTTGTAAAATACAAAATTATTGCAATCTATTTATAAATTTCCCTACTATTGACTTTTTTTCAAAATGAGGCATTGCATCCGATGTGGTTTTAGCTTTCGGCTTCGGGTCGCTTGTTGCGTTCCCATATGTATATTTATTTGCAATCAATAAATGACGCATTTCATACAGTGGGTCCCGCGACTATCGCCTGTCTAGAGTCTAGACCTGTGGCATTATCATGGCTTGGGAATGCTTTCTCGATGAAACACTAATACCAGATGCTACTGATGACTTCATGAATATTTTTAAAAATTACTTATGTATTCTATTCGCTCATAGTGATATTTTTCCTCTTTATATTTGATTTCTGATCGGATCAATGAAATCGAAATTTGATTTCGGTTCGTTCGCCGAACTTAAGATTTTTATACTTGTTTAAACAACAATTTGTTTGGATTTGCGGCTATTTGCCTTTGAGTTGGTTCCCGAAAGATTGTAAATCAAAATTTTAATGATGAAAACTCTGATACACAAATTAAGCCACTCAACTTGGATGCCACATTCATTAATTGCCAAAAAAGAGGAAGAAATTCTCTAGTTTGCTATCATTAGTTCTTATTTCATTTATCAAAGTAGCTTTTTTTGATTACTTCTTGGCTGCACGACGACGGACGGAAATGTTGTTGCAATTAGTTTATGTTGCCTTCTTGTGCAACCTCGGAAAAGTTCTCCGCAAACTGTTTCAGTGTTAGTGCCTAACAGTCGTTACCACCGAGGAGCCACCCACCCGCCGTCAACAAAATTTGGCACGAGAAAATTTCACTTTTATTGTGGAGAAGAGCAAACCAACCGAGCGACAACAGACCATCCTAACCCCTTATATCTACTATATACTATATGCCATATACTATATGTGTGCAGATAGGATAGGTATCTGTTTTTTGAATGGGTGGCTGAGGGAGTAGGTTTTTGGGGAACCACATTTATAAAACTGCAACAGCTGCAGTTATTTTTCAACTTGTTTTGTTTGTCGCTCGACGATGCCACTGCGATTTTTCTTTTGTCCTCATTGGGTCCTTCTCTTTCACTTGTCCCGTCTCCCTCTTTTAACATATTTGGTATTCGATTTTTGCATAGAACTCTTACCAAAAAAAGCGTCCACGTGGAATATATTGAAATGCCATATGGGGGAAATGAATTCACATTCGATTTGATGCCTGAAAAATTGTGTCCGATTTCCGTTGAGGCGTACAGAAAAAAGTTCACCATTGTATGTCAGAAACAAATGAGTCTTTAAAGCCTGGGAAATTAAATGGAAATGCAATATACATTGTGAATTGGCGACTTTTTAAATTTTTGAATAGCTGTTATAAACATAGGAAAGGAATTTAAAAATGTATATTTAAGAATGTAATACTTCTTAAATTTCTAAGACTAGGATACAACACTTTAGGGTTTTGTTAATGAATTAGTACAATATTTAAGGTGAAGTATCAAACTCTTTTTGCCAAATGCATGACTTGGCCTATAGTCTATACTCTGTCCTATGCCCCGTAGTTCCTCACCTTTCCGGTTTTTTGGCCAGCGTCTACAGGTAAGAAGGATGCATTTTAAGGAGGCAATAGGCGGCAGATGTTATTGTTTCCTCTCCGTTTTTCTTACCTGCTCTTGGCCTTTGCCTTGTGGTGGCCTTTTTTGAACTAAAATACTTCAACAAAATGCTGCCGCCAGAGGCGAGTGAGAAAAAATAATATAAAGCAAACGAATTCCTTAACATTTTATGCGTTGTTGCGTCATCGCACACGGAACAGTAGTGGTATTTACATAGATATATACCCTCCAAACACAGAATCGTATGTGTATACGATCTAGTCTCATACTGTCTGAGTCTGGTTTGGAATTTAGTCATCTGCCGGTCTCCCGACCACAAAACTTGTTTACGATTTAGCTTTATTTTAGCGCTTTGAGCACATACAAACAACATATTTGAAAATTTTATTTATTCTTGAATTTCCTCCTTTTCTCACTTTAGCTGTCACCGGTTCTAAATGCCTTAATTAAATTTTAGTTTTATCGTAGTCAGTTTTATTTCCATCAGAAGCGGAATTAATTTCTGCTTATCGTCGCATTGTGGGTGTGGGGTCTGCAATCGGAAAATAAAATAAAATGATATTCGTTTAAATTGGCACACATATTTATTTAGGTATATAGCCAGATAGTTCTTGGTATCGAGTATATGTAGATGATTCCTAGTTGGTTGACTTCTCATGCGTGAATGTTTTTGTTTCGTTTTTTTTCGCACTGATTTGAAGGCCGTGAGAATGCTACTGAGTCTGGTTTTACTATTTTTATTGAGTTTTCTTCTCAAATATTTTTCACCATATAGCGTTGTCTTAATTTTCGATCTTGAATGCCCTTTTACAAAGTGTGCAATGACGCGTTTGGCTGGCTGTGGTCACGCTTCACTGCCAGTCAGAAATTTATTTATAAAGAACATCTTTC